GGCCCTCGGCTGTCATGGAAGAGTGGCCATGGAGGCAGTCCAGGGAGACATCGGCTGGTCATCGTTCGAAGCCAGGGAGGCGTGCAGCAAAACAGCGTTTGAGGCCCGCCTCCGGCGTCTGAGCGACTTGCGATGGGCCAGGCGCATTATTCGGTACCTTGCCCTCAAGGGTATTTAGACCGCGTGGTCGAATATAGGTCACCGGCTGCGCGGAAAATTCCGCTTCTTCGGCGAAACGCATAGTGGCTCGCCCGAGGGCCTCACCCCACGTTCGGTGCGCACTCAAGTCCGAGAGGTGCAAAGCGCCCAATGGCGATCAAGAGTGCTGCGTAAGTCCACCTTGCGGATGCATGGCGAACACAACGCTGAACCAGGCAGAGAAAAACTCTACGACAGCAGTGCAGGCAGTGCTTTGCCGTTTGAAGTGCGTGCAGGAGCGTAGCGTGCGCTCACCTACCGTCGTCGCTTCGATCAGGGCCCGCAGGTCCAAGCTTCCATCTGTTGCTGCTGCGTTGAAACGAGCGAAAAGGCTGAACACTTGACACTAGATTGTTCCCGTCTCTCTCCACGACCAGCAGAGGGCACCACTCTGTCACAAGCACTCAGGTTCGCCCCAAAAGATCATGACGCCACTGCCATGTCGACAACAAAAGCTCGTCTACAAAATTAGTAGATGGCTATGGTGATATAAGGACTGACAGGACAGACGGGGCACTTCTAGAGTGCAAAAAAACTGATGTGACAAGTGTGTGCCCCGCTGCCTGTTTTAAGACTTCCTATCTCTCGTCTTTTTTTTTCCTCTCTTTTTTACTGGCTAGGTCACACTATCCGTGACCATCCGATTAAAAGGGAACATCCACCTGTCATTATCATCATCATCGTCGTCGTCGTCGTCGTTGTTGTCCTCATCATCATCATTATCATCATCATCGTCGTCGTTGGTGTTCAATGGCCCATGCGCTCGCCCCCTTGCGACTACGTCCACTTCGTTCTCGTCGTTTCGTAGGCACGGCAGCTCGTGACAAGTTCCAACGATGAGTGCTACGACGGGTACCGATTTCCCCCCAAGCCCCCTCACTTGCCTGCTCTCAACCTCGTAGAAGTACGCGTGATAGTTTCACGCCTGTCATTTATGAGCATTAGGCATTTAACTAAAGGCACCGGTCAGTATGGCATAAAGGGGCAGCTAGTTAGCGTGTGCCTATAGACGGGGCCAACACTCTGTAGTGCTAGCCGTGGAACATGCTCGGCAATGCCGCCTTCGACGTGCACATCATGCACCGGCTCGTTAACAAGTTCCTACAGAAATGGTCTTGCCAAGAAACGTCCTGTGCACCTCCGAGCAAGCTCCTCCAACATCGTTCACTTTGTGGATATGGCGGTGATTTTTTTTTCGTTCACCGGCAACGCTGGCTATGCCCGCAACCAAAACAGCATTTGGTTCGAAAAATATATCTTCTAACGAATATAAAACGTCGCGTCAATCCAAACTTAGCTAAGTTGTGTTATCTGCAAAACTTTGTGACATGGTTCACTTTGCTCGAGTTGTGAACTACTTTTGTTTAATTCTGGCATGAGAACAGATATGGGTGCCACATTCGACAAGCTAGTGGCTAACCTGCAGCGGCATCACAAACGTCCTGAGGAATATTTCTTCTGGCTTTATTTTTTACATGACAGTGTTAAAAGCTTGTTTTGCGGAAATTTTGGCATCTTCGTCATTGGTTGTGACCGAAAAATCGGTCATCTTGTTGGCGACCGAGAAATTAACGAAGATGCATATAAAATAAATAGTGGTGATAAAATAAAATTACCTGAGGATCGAACCGAGGTCGTTTGCGTGGAAAACAAGTGCTCTGACACGAAGCCACGTGTCTGTTTGTAAATACAATGACAATAACTTCCTCTGCTTGCAAGTGCAGTGAAAATAACTCGTGCTTTCCAAACATATGTGTCCTGTATATAGGCTGCACAATACAACATGAACGTACTAGGCCCATCGACTACAGTAACACCGTAACATTGCGTGGTACAAGCGTACATTGTCATTGGGGGTCACAACATGTTATTATTATAACTACTTCGGAGTTTGAAGCCAGCCACCCATTACAAAAGAGACACGTTATGCACGTATTCCGTTAAGGCCATGTAGTGGGTGCATAGCAAGGTCGCAAAGATTTTGCGCGCATAGTTTCCCCTGGTTTAAAGCAGGTTACCAATTACACGGAATGCAGTCATATGCTAATGATTCAGGGACACAAGCCACTTTCAACTTAATTGATTACATTGGACTAATCCATAATTTCAACTTTTCGAGCAACATCACACAATAAAGCCTATGCACTAAATGGTTGAAGTACGCACCGAAGACAGTATAACGCTATGGCTGCAACCTCTTAAATGTGAAGCTGAAAGGTTTCGCAATTTTTAAACTTGCATATCGTCATTGATGTCTGAATGTGTGTGAGTGAGTTCAGAATACGTAGTCCCTTAGACCTGTACGAAGTAACGGGGCATCTCAGCTCCTCGACATATCCTTGCTTTTTTAGGGTTATAAACGGTTGACCTTCACCTTTCCAGAATTCATAGGTTGACTGCTTTTCTCTAGCGCGTTTCATCGCATGCACAGTACCCAAACAGGGTATGTCATTTTCGATGGACTTACCTGTCACGCAGTACGGGTGTACCTGGGTGTGAATGTGGAAAAGCCCTCATTGACAATTCGATATGTGTTTAGAATGAGTGTTTAACGATTTATAGTACGCGGTACTCTACTATGGGAGAGCAGGAAGCCGTCCCAATGAAATAACGATCATCAATTACAACTGTACTCGGTTGCCACGGCATATAAAATGACTTGAGTAGTTTGAATGCCTGTACAAAGTATGAGATACCTGAGGGCACCATAACAGCTTATGCTGTAGCATCGCTTCAACTTTTCCCTCTGTAATTGTCTACGTATTTACTATTCTGTAGATGCATTGGCATGGTCATACCAGAAATTGTGGTATAATTACCATAAACCAAAACTCCTCATATGAGGATCCAGCTATTTTTATACATATATTCGTAAATTCACTAGTCAAAGGTTGAAAATTGAAAAAAAAGGCTTCTGTCATTGTCACTACACGGAATCATATTGTCTTTCGGCCTAAGAAAAAACCCATTGGTCGGCTTTTACGAGTGCGATATCTTGTAAGAACTTGAGAGAGGGACCAAAAAGGTGTCTCTCTCAAAAAAGAAAAAGTGTTGCAGCTTGCATAGGCATGAATCACGCACACACCGTCGTATTTTCTGGTCAACATATTGTAAGGAATGCGAAGCATACCACAGTTTCTTCATGAGGATTGACCTTGCCCTGAGTAAAGAACAGAGCCCATGTCAGTCGGGACATTGGTTACACACAGGCGCATCTAATCAGTAACTACTGGTCAGGTTGTTTTGTCTTATGTGGAGCAGCTTTCGATAAACACGTTAAGGTCGACAATAAAGCCTCTGAAGCCATTCCTCTATCGGGAAAATCGGCGAAAGCGGAGGTTGGCGCCCCAGTTATCCCACTTCTTTATTTCTTTCTTTTTCTCTTTCTGTGTTTCTTTCTCTTTTTCGTATTACGCAATGCTCCGTCCTAACTTGCTCCTTTCTTCCATGCCCGGAAATGGGTGTTTATCCACGTGACATGGCAGTAGCTGTAGGTGCAGTAGCTGCAGGTGCAGTAGCTGTAGGTGCAGTAGCTGTAGATCATGGGTCCATATACAGGCAACACTGAAAAGTGGCAACGTGAGGCGACAAGTTAGCTTGGTAAAAGACCACACTGCGATATAAAGAGTGGCTGATCTCCGTTAAGTCCACGTTCGAGTGAGCATGAATCATAAGAAAACGTTCTATATAAATAAGAATGAGATATTCGCAACAACGAGCGTTGCGTTTGTGTGCATTCGACAGCACTGCATCATTCACTTACACTGAAATGATAAACTCGAGACAAAGTTCACTCCCATTTCTTCAACGGCCTTGCTGCGTGCCATTCGTTGTCAAAGTAGTGCAGACGAGGGCCTTGAATAATAACTACTAATCAAATTCACAAAGAAAGGAACTGTAAATGCGGGAGCGTGCTTTCGCAGAACGACCGATGCCACAGGATCATTAGCAGCACGAACAGTGAACAAAAAAGAAAGAAATCAAAATGGCGGCGGAAATGTTGTAGGCCCGTGTGCCCAGATTTGGGTGCACGTTAAAGAACCCCAGGTGGTCGAAATTTCCGATGCCCTCCACTACGGCGTCTCTCATAATCATATGGGGGTTTTGGGACGTTGAACTCCACATATCAATCAAAAATCAAGAAATCAAAGCAGGCTGATAGAGCACCAGAAAAAAGAAACGTGACAGCTGGGCAGCAAAATGAAGCGGTGACATCGCTGTTTCCGGCCAGAATTCCAAATGTACCTCGCCCCAATCATACCTCACACGCAGGCACTGCTTTGTGTGGTGAGGCCAGAAAGTTCAGGCAGGGTCATGCAGTTCCCTCACGCAACCCAGTTCTTCTGGTGTCCACTAGCGAGGCCAAGTTGACATCTTATTTTGCAACTAGGCCAGGCGTACCCCCACTGCGGAGCACGAGGTGCTATTCTAAAAGCAATGCACTGCCTACGTCAAAGTAAACGCTAAGAGCTGCTAGCATTAGCACTGGTGTAGTGAGCGCCCTCCAGTCATCACAACAGACACTGGCAGAGCTGCCAAACTGGAGTGGCGCACGCATGTCAATGGTGATGGCTCGATGGCGTGCACAATTCCGTTTCTCATACTTTCCGCTGTATGCATATCATTTGACACCGATAGTATGCATAGCTCTAAAAAAATAATGTTTTGCTTGCCACTCTTCATGCTTGCTCCTTTCGTGCGAAGAAGCCCGTAAATGTTTCTGCATTGACCACCTTTCGATTTCAGAGCTTTCCGGTCAGTCTATAGAGATGTTAAGCCGCTAATCGAGCTTGTCTGTTCAGTTTGTACAGATGGAGGAAAAGGACACTTTCCGTGTTCAAGGAACTCGGCATTCCAGGGCCAGAGCCTAACCTCATATTCGGCAACCTGTTGGAAATCTGGAAGGAGGTAAGATACACATATGCGCCACGCTGGAGACAAAGCACTGGCGTCATAAAGCAGCTTATGGACCTTCGATATATTATCTACTCTAAACTGTCACGTCAGGCGATAAGGTGCCCGACTACTGCGCACATGTTCTCTCACAAATGTGCGGTTTGGTGGACGCTATTGCATTGTCAACCTTGTGTAGCAAAATTAGCGTAATTGTCAGACCATTACCTGAACTGTCTAGATCACATCAACTTGCAAATGAGGTGATCACTTTCTTCGGGAAAAAGATAACCGATCTCTCTGGATGCGCACTATTTCCAAAAACAGCGGCCTTTCCGAGTTCTAATAAGCTTCACAGCATAAGAAGTTTGGGATACGGCGGAGCTGTAGCCTGTGTTTTCTTTGTCAGTGAGATAGCTGCAAAGCTTTTGTGGTGGTCGTCTACGACATATACACAAGAACAGATCTTATTCAGGCTTACATATTTATAGAGGACATCGTATGGACATCGTGAGGTCTTCAGGAGCTTCGCTCCTAAAATTTTACTCCCTATCATGCAATTTAACTTGATCTCATTGCACCCAGAAATCAATATGAGACTCAATAACACTCAGTGCCAGCCACGGTTCGGGTGCGGTATTCAGCTGATTCCTGTGCTCATTTCCCAGATGGCTAGCGTTAAGAACGCCAGCTCACAATCATATGTGGTTGAAAATGGCTGCCCCATGTCTACTGCCTTATCTTCGGCACCTCAGATAGGCTGGCTGACGTTTTGATAGGAGGACATATTTTTGTCAAAGGCGCCTTGTAATCCTTCGCGAGGCTAAGGATAACAAGGCGCCTTTGACAAAGATAGGTTCTCCCATCGAAACGTCGGCCAGCCTATCTGAGGCACTCCCAATGTTCACCCTGATTATCCCACTACGTGTATCCATCTGTCGGCTCTAATTTTGATTTTGGATCTCAGGCACGGTTCTTCAAACCGCAGAAATGAGTATGGTGGTAATATAAGACCTCCGAGATTCAGGTGCAAAAGCTTAACTACACCGCCCGTGTTCGGAGTGTGGCTGGCTACAAGCAGCTGGTGGGACTTTGCGCACATGTCGCGCGTTTCTGTTATTTATTTTTATTTTATTTCATACTTCCAGCCAGCTTGACAAGCCATAGGCAAGTGTGGGTTGCGCAAAAGATACATGTTGCACAAAAGAGACAAAAGAAACAAACTGTGAATACACTTTAACAAAAATATGTTGAACACATATTTAATTTTTCTTGAACAGTTTTCAAAGCATGTGAAAAAACGCAAACATTAAAATATATAAAGCGCGCAAAATACTGCAAGTGAGAATACCGACCAGAAAATACATACATCACAGTGAAAGATAACATCGCTTTAGAACTAAGATGTGTGAGATATGCACCGAGATGTGCTAATTGGCTTTCGGGCATGAGCAATAGATGTTCCTTAGATCGACTTCGCTTCAGATTTGCAATCTAAATGACTTTGCGATTGTGAAACCACAGAATATTTATCAGTGGCCTGCGGAACATTGAGAAGTAGCCTGCGGAACCCGCAGGTTCCGCGGAGCACACTTAGAGAAATCATGCTGTGCGTGGTTATGCTGTTTTACCCCTTCACCTCCTTCTCATCTTGGCATCATTCACCCTCATTTTGACTTCCCTTTCCCATCTCCTCCCTATAGTATACTCTGCGTAGACACGCTTTGCTAGGAACTACACAAAACTGTTAGATTTGTTGTATGACAGTGAAAGCAGGGTGGAGTTGATGGTTCCGTCAATATCACGGCCTCTTATACGCTAGCAGGGCGATAGCGAAACTGGAAAGTAATCCAAACTACTCGAATACCAGCTTTATTATCTTAAGTGAACTGAACTGATCTCCATTGACGTTATTTCTAACGCGTTAGTTTTGAATACCTACAGTGGGCACACCCTGGAATCAGAAATGTGCCGCTGCCATACACCACATTTCCGTAATTACAGCAAAGTAACACGCGCAGAACCACAAGAGTGCCTACCAAGCAGCGCACATAGTTGCGCGTCAAAACGACTGGGTGCAAACGCGGATGCGAGAGAAATCGGTACACTGCAAAAGCGTGTAATGTTATCTTGTGTATGTGTCTACTTTTTGGCATGAATGCCTACAAACAAGCTCAACTGTAATTCTAAGCATATTCTAAGCATACATGTTCTGACTATGTAGAAATAAAAAGTTGAAGTCTTCCCATTTCTCGCGTACTTCAAGTAGTCAGCATTTTCTGTAGCTTTTTGTTTCCCAGGAAATACATTACGAACCTCCAAGTATACGGACAAGCTAATGAGAATGCATCATGGTAACTCGGCGACAATCATTACGTGTCCTTGAAACCTTATTGGTTTTCAGCAGGATGGTGAAACCTAAGAACACGCCCGTACACACTCGCCTCGAATGTCAAGCCCAGCGAGCATGACGCTTCAAGGGGTGAACTGCAGCGCGGTAATTTAACGGCACTTTGTTTGATTAATCTTCTTTCATATTGTCGCGAGCAAAAACAAGACCTGCAGCGAGGAGTTCACCCAAACTAGAGCAACAAAAACGTTCTCTTCTTCTTCGTAGCCCAAAAAGGGTATGAGCCACAGCGGCTCGTTCATCAATGGTGGCATTACCCCCTCTCCCAAGAAGCATCGTCTTGATGCTGTACATGAAGGCAAAAAAGAAAGAAAATGAGATGAAAATTACCATGCAGGCAAAATGAATGGCGTAAAGCGGAATAACATAGTTGGTTGGGGAGTCAAGAGGTAAATGAGAAATAAGAAAAATAGGAAAGAATGTGAAGGAGAGACGAATAAAGTCAGTCACTCACTGGCGATTCACAGCGCGAAAAGTATAGTTTCAGCCGTGAAACGTGAACGACTTCAATTCGCGGGGTGAAACGGGAACGTCTCGAAGTGCCTTCTAGGAGAACCTCGTATGTGACGTCGCTGAGACGTCGTACGACCTTGTAAGGGCCGAAGTAGCGGCGAAGAAGCTTTTCTGAACGGCCACGTTGTCGGATAGGGGTCCACACCCAGACTTCATCACCGGGCTTGAAAATAACTTCACGGTGACGAAGATTGTAGCGGCGTGCGTCTGCGGTTTGGTGATGTTGAATACGGTGACGAGCAATTTGACGGGCCTCTTCGGCACACTGCGTGAATTTGGCGGCATCGGTGTGGTATATTCCTAAGTTGTCGGGCAGGAGCATGGCGTCGAGCATCGTCGTGACCTCGCGACCATGGACTAAGCGAAAAGGTGTGAAACCGGTACTTTCTTGAACAGCAGTATTATACGCAAAAGTTACGTAGGGAAGTATGGTGTCCCAGTTCTTGTGATTGATGTCCACATACATTGACAGCATGTCTGCAATTGTCTTATTGAGTCGTTCAGTCAGCCCGTTTGCTTGCGGATGGTAAGCCGTTGTTTTACGATGCTCCGTGGCACCTAATCTCAAGACTTCCTGCAGCATCTCTGCGGTGAAAGCTGTCCCACGATCAGTTATGACGACAGCTGGAGCACCGTGACGTAAGACGATGCTGTTCACGAAAAATGGGGCGACATCTGCTGCGGTTGCTTTTGGAAGCGCCTTCGTTTCACAGTAGCGTGTTAAGTAGTCGGTAGCGACCAGAATCCACCGGTTTCCAGACGAAGACGTGGGGAATAACCCCAGCAAGTCCATGCCAATCTGATGAAAGGGCGCCTTTGGTGGGCCTATTGGTTGCAGTAGTCTCGCTGGTCGTAAAGGTGGAACCTTACGTCACTGACAGTCGCGACATGTGCGAACGTAATGCTTCACAGTCTTTGCGAGACGTGGCCAGTAGTAGGAGCGTTGAATCCGTTGCAGCGTGCGCGTATAGCCGAGGTGTCCGTACGATGGCTCATCATGATACGCACGTAAAATGTCACCACGAAGCGTAGTTGGCGCAACAAGCAGATACATAGCTTGTGTCGGATGAAAGTTGTTTTTGTAAAGCACTCCATCGCGGAAACAAAAGGAGGATAGCGAGCGTGCAAAGCTTCGAGGATGGTGAGAATTGTGTCCTTCCAGGTAGTCAATGAGCGGAATGAGCTCCGAGTCGTGACGCTGTTGCTCAGCCAAGCGGGTTGCTGATACGGCAGAAAGAAAAGTGTCGTCGTCTTCAAGGTCAGTGTTGGCATTTTCGACCGGTGCACAAGAGAGACAGTCGGCGTCGGTGTGTTTCCGCCCAGTTTTGTGGACGATGGTGACATCGAAATCTTGTAGCCGAAGGCTCCATCGTGCTAGACGACCTGAGGGATCTTTGAGATTTGCGAGCCAACAAAGGGAATGGTGGTCGCTAACTACCCTGAATGGGCGGCCATACAAGTATGGGCGGAACTTTGTTATGGCCCAGACGACAGCGAGGCATTCCTTCTCGGTTGCGGAATAGTTTTTCTCCGCTGGGGATAACGTTCTGCTCGCATAAGTGATCACGCGCTCCACGCCATTCTGCCACTGAACTAATACCGCTCCTATTCCAACGTTGCTGGCGTCAGTGTGTAATTCCGTGTCAGCGCTTTCGTCAAAAAGACCCAGTACAGGTGGAGCTTGGAGGAGGTTTCGGAGGGTGTCGAACGCATGACACTGATCGGGACCCCAAACAAACGAGACACCGTCTTTTGTAAGCTTGTTGAGGGGTTCAGCAATCTTCGAAAAGTTTTTGACAAAGCGCCTGTAATACGCACAGAGCCCCAGAAATCGGCGTAGGTCACGCTTATTTGTGGGCATTCTCCGGATCTGGGCGGATGCCGGCATGGCTCACAACGTGACCAAGGAACTTCAGTTCTTCATATCCAAAATGACATTTCTCTGGTTTGAGAGAAAGCCCCGCTGTTCTAATTGCCTGAAGTACTGCATGAAGGCGTTGGACGCGTTGTTCAAACGTGTCTGCAAAGACCGCGACGTCATCAAGGTAAACAAGACATGATTGCCATTTGAGCCCTGTGAGAACCGTATCCATCATTCTTTGGAAAGTAGCTGGCGCTGAGCATAGACCGAAAGGCAACACTTTAAACTCGTACAGGCCGTCGGGAGTAATAAACGCCGTCTTTTCGCGGTCGCGCTCATTCACTGCGATTTGCCAGTAGCCGCTACGTAAATCCATGGAAGAAAAATATTTACCGTTGCGTATACGGTCCAACGAGTCATCTATCCTCGGTAGAGGATAAACATCCTTTTTCGTGACCTTGTTCAGGTTACGGTAATCAACGCAAAAACACAACGTACCGTCCTTCTTCTTTACTAGCACAACTGGCGAAGCCCAGGGACTGGTTGATGGCTGGATGACGTCGTCCTGAAGCATCTGCTGGACTTGGTCACGTATAGCGTCTTGCTCTTTTTGCGACACCCTATAGGCGTGTTGTCGGATGGGTCTCTCGGTGGGTTCCGTGATGATACGGTGCTGAGCAAGTGGTGTCTGTTTAACCTTTGACGTAGTGGCAAAGCAGTCTTGAAATGAACCGAGTAAACGCAAAAGGCTTTCTCGTTGAGACGAAGGTAGTCTCTCGTTTACGTCGAGAGTGCTCGCGAACGCCTCGTCAGGGTGGCCATTCGATGAAAATAAAGCTAACGTGGGCGAACCATCGGCATCGGCAAGTTCTTCACAATATGCAATGGCAGTGTGTCTGTTAGGTGGCGATATTCGTCACTGAAGTTCGTGACCAGCAGGTGAACATGCCTATTGCTAGGCTGAATGATTCCTCGGGCAACACAGATTTGTCGTGAAATAAGGAGAGACAAATTGGCCACTGCAATTACCGCGTCAGACATGCCCTGTCCCAATTCTACTTCGACAAAGAAGCTGCTTCGAGGTGGGAGAGCCAGAGAATCGTCGGTAACACGAAGTTCTCTTTTCCGGAATTGTGTACTGTCAGTTGCAGCGCAAAAAGGATCCTCGAACGACACAAGTAATTCACGGAGGTCGATGACGGCGCCGTATTCACGAAGGAAGTCCATTTCTAGAATGACTGGCCGAGAGCACACGCGCAATACGAGGAAAGAGCCTGCAAATGTCGACGTACGTATACGAATGCGTGCCGTGCACATAATGGTAGGCATCACCAGATGGCCCCCTGCCATGCGCAACTGGGGTCCTTGCCATGGTGTGGTAACCTTCCTCAGTTCAGATGCCAGTGCGGCGCTCATTACGGAACAGTCGGCGCCGGTGTCGACGAGGGCGTTGACAGCAAGATTGTCGACGAAGACAGCGATTTCGGCAGAAACGATCTTTCTGCTGTCAGAGAACACTGCGAAACCGGAATAGTCTTCGTCTGGTCGTTGCGTCGAATGAGGGTCTTTTACAGTTCGCCGGGCCGCGACTTCACCCCCAGAAGTCACCATTCCTAGTTTCCCCTGCGGGGACTTGGTGACCGGCTCCTGAAAGGAGCGGAAGACGATGAGGGCAAACTGGGTGACGTAGACCGGCGAGGCGACGGTGATCTCGACTGGTGGTGCTGAACAGCCGAAGGTGTTCGCTGGCCCGTGAGATAGGCTTCAATTTCGCGGGGGCGCTCACCGTAGCGCGGGCATCGAGCATCAGGATGAAAGCTGCGGAGACCTAGTTGCCGGTATTGACAGTTCCTGTACACGTGACCCGCTTCGCCGCAGTGATAGCAGAGCGGACGGTTATCCGAGGTGCGCCACGTGCTTGCCTTGCTACCACTTTGTCTTGAGGTAGACTGCAGATAGGTGGGTGTGCTCGGGAACCTTGAGCCGTGAGGCGGGCTCGAAGCAGTGGTGTGGAGTGACTGCATAGCCTGGTACCTGGGCCGGATAGCAGGTTCTGTAGCCGGTGGCGCAGGGGATCGCAATGCCGCTGCGTATGTCAGGACTGGCGCCTCGGGAATCGGTGGTGTGATTGGGGTCAGGGGTGTGACGGCCTGCCGGACTTCTTGTCTGATTACATCCGCGAGGGCAGACACAGGTTGATGAGATCCCACCGCCTGAAGCTGTCACAGTTTGTCCCGAACAATACTTCGAATGAAGTCTGCGAGGGCCTGTCTCTCGCTGTCAGAGCCGATAGAGCATGCGGTGGCCGGGATCTGGCGTTCGTATTGTGATGACCGCTGCTGCAGCGTACGTTCCGTAGTGGTCGCCTCACTGATGAACTGGGCGACTGTCGTTGGTGGATTGCGCACGAGCCCAGCGAAAAGCTGTTCTTTTACTCCGCGCATCAAATGCCTCACCTTCTTTTCCTCGGGCATGGCAGGGTCCGCGCGCTTGAAGAGCTGAAGCATGTCCTCGACAAACATGGATACTCGTTCGTTCGGCCGCTGGTTTCTGCAGGATATGGCTTGTTCGGCCCTCTCCTTCCTCTCGGCGTTCAGAAAGGCGTCACGGAGCTGACGGCTCCAGGTTGCAAAGGAGCCCTCGTGGTTCTCGGACCACGTCTTCGCAGAATCCTCCAAGTAAAAGTAAACTCGGCGCAGCTTGCGAACATCGTCCCACTCGTTGATGCAGGCAACCCGATCAAAGTGGTCGAGCCAGTCATCAACATCCTCGAAGATATCTCCATGGAACGGCTTTGGTGTCTGTGGCGCATGAAAAACATGGGCGAGAAGACAACCATGAGCATCGCTGGTTTGGACCGCCTGGCTTGTCACCGGAGTTGCCATCTTTCTGGGTGTCGATGTCAAGGGACCAAATTCAGGGGGTAACCCACGCAGGCGGAGGCTGCTTCTTGCTCTGGGAGATGTAGCTGTCTCCACGATGGCCGACACAGACGAAGTACACGTACCCAGCGTCTCCACCAGTAATGTCGCAAGCAAAAACAAGACCTGCAGCGAGGAGTTCACCCGAACCAGAGCAACGAAAACGTTCTCTTCTTCTTCGTAGCCCAAAACGGGTATGAGCCACAGCAGCTCGTTCATCAATGGTGGCAATATTATTGAAAATGACAGGATCTTTGACTAAATGCTTGTCCATAATGGTCAGTATGCTGGGGATCATAGCGGGTCATGAAGAGGTAAGAAAATAATTCAGGAACACAAAAACGTTATGATGGCTTCGTGCACTTCACTTCTCATCCTGTTAACAATAACACTACTCTATTGATAGAAAAGACTCTTGCCCCTCTCAAGAAACAATCTTTAATACGTGTATCTGTAGACACCGTCAGTTAGCTGCATGTTCTTTTGCATGCATTAGTTGAAGTGAGACAATCAAGAATGACTGAGAGTATTATTCTTTTCAGGGTATGGGTCCATGCTCGAGCAAATGGTTGAAGCAGTACGGAGACGTCGTTGGGTAAGTTGCACTGTGGTATCCACACCTATCTCGAGTACACGGCAATCTGGAACAGACTCCAGACCATAATTGGACATCATTACCAGCATAAAAGCAAAATAATGACAAGAACAGCAAACATATGACCATGCCGGTGTGGTCTCACATTCCTTCTCGATAGAGAGCCAGAGAGGACTTGACGAGAAAGTGAAACATTAGGCCAGTTTTGACAAATAGGTTCCCTTTTCAAAACTCTAGTGTGTAGGTTAGTTGCGAGAAGAGAAATGAAGAGGCCAAATTTTCCTTCTGCAATTTAGGGACGAAACTTCAGCTCTAAAACGTCATCATGACGTCACTAATTCGGTGGGGTTGTGGGGAGGGGAATGTTTTGGTTACGGCGGATCAATGAAATCTTCCGGAAGCTGCTGCGTTTAGAATTCGGGCCTCAGAACAAAGTATAAACAGTTTTTACCGATCTATGATTACGTAGGTGCTTGCAGACGCCGTAAAACATCTGTGACGCCACGGCAACGTGGTACGGGAACTTTATAGTGGTTGCGCCCACCATACTTCGTCTTTACACGTTTTCTCGCGTACCAAGCGCCTTCTCGCTGCAACAGTGGTGCTTCCAATACTGCGAAAGTCAAACTTACTTAAAATTATGGACCATCTCCTAGAGGGGAACCATGATGGGTTGCGAAGCAGCAGTGGTGAGCACACCGTTGACCCGGCTGAAACGGGCGTCAATGTGGGTGCTGGAAGAACAGTTTGAAGCAAAACTTGCTGTAGCCTTTACTCGAGTAAACGTTTCCGTTTTAACGCAAATGCACGGAAGGCGGGTTGGTTTCTGTGTAAGTTTTGTCGTATATAAACCAGCCGAGAGAATGTTTCCACTCGACGTGCGGTCAAGCGTTGCGGGTGGTGGAGAGAGTGAAGCGAGGGAGAGGGGTGTTGCGAGCGGGTGGAGGAGAAACGCTGTTGGTTAAAACCTAACAATAAATGCAAGCTCCACCTACAGCGGTCACCGTCCCACCCAGCCAGAATTTGTATATTTGTTTTACTGAATGGCAGTCGGTTATTTACATGACGTCAGGCAGGTTACACGAATTCTAGCCATATTACTTGTCCGTACAGGATCATGTTCATTTTGTTAGTTTTCGATCGGAAATTTTTCTTTTATGACAAATTTTATTAAAAGTTTGACCTTTACTGCTCTGCAAAACGTAACGTTTTAACAAGAGACGACAAACTTTTATTGTATATTATGCGTAACATATTGATTACCAGCGAAAATTTGCTTATGGTTTCAACGAAAATTGGCAATCATTGTTCTCTTCCCCAGAAGAACGACAGGCTTGCTGCAGTACTGGGGTGGAGCATGCATTTATTCTTAGGCTGCACCCGACTATAGGTGTGTTGGGAGAAGCTGGCAGCTGCTGCCGGTGAAAGAGAGTGACGTCGATGAGCAGCTGCGACTTAACCTACTTGGCATCGTTCCAACAACTGCGGCGGGGAGAACGTGGTGTGGCCCATTGGCACGAAGACATGGATGGACAGAGTTACAGAGGGCCCCACCACGGCGGTCTAGTGGCTAAGGTACTCGGCTGCTGACCCGCAGGTCGCGTTATCGAATCCCGGCTGTGGCGGCTGCATTTCCGATGGAGGCGGAGATGTTTTAGGCCCGTTTACTCAGATTTGGGTGCACGTTAAAGAACCCTTAGTGGTCGAAATTTCCGGAGCCCTCCACTACGGCGTCTCTCATAATCATATGGTGGTTTTGGGACGTTAAACCCCACATATCTATCAAGCGTTACAGAGGCTAGTCAAAACACTGCTTTGCATCTAATAAGAGAAAAATTCTTGTTATTTTTTTTAATTACCCAGTGGCGATTTGGAGGCTCCAGGGTGTCCTCCCCGGCCAGGTCCTCTTGACTTTATTAATGCCTGTCGGTCTCTTTGCCATCTGTTTAAATCTGGCCCTAGTGCTTTGCTTTTAAACAGGTTATTCAGAAAACATCCTACTAACCTTTTTGTTCATGCACTCAATGTGTTCACTTTCCTGTTCTGCTACAAAGTACTTGTTCTTGTGTTCGATCCTTAATTACCGTATTTCTGCCTTTATTGCGTTTCAGTTAGCCTATTTGTAATGACCAGCTTAGTTAATTGCACTCCGACTTTGAATGTAACATCACTCATCCCTACAATGTATTCAATACATTTATTCTTTTGTATCTGTTCTATATTTTGCAGCGAAAGCTGTTATGAGATCACAATAAGGGTCACATGCGCCGCAGTTGTTCGCCATCGCCGATGTCTGTAACCACTATCGCGTGAAATTAGGAAATACGCGGATAAAAACACCACAAGCCCAGCGGGATTCGAGCCCGGGTTCCCTGCGTGCCAGCCGGGTATTCTACCACAAAGCCACGCCGGGGATTGACACTCTGTTGCAAGCTGGCCTTAGACAGGTTTGGGTCTCTGGAAAGGATTCGCGTTCATATGAGTAACAAAGCGTTTTAGAACATCCAAGAAACAGCCAGGTATTACACGATGCAATTTGCGTAACGAGAGGGTCGTTGAATTCGCCAACCCATTACTAAAGCTTGAGGCATAATTCTTCATTGTCGTCAGCTACGGAATCAAAAAATTTCCCAGCATTTCTTGCAAGTGTGTAGCGGGTCCCACGCTTCTACAAATAATGACGAAAGTTGACATAGTCAATGCCTACCTACTAGCAAAAATTGTGATGATTCATGGCGTAGTGGGTACCCTGCAAGTGCGCCTGTAGCAGTTACCCAAAGAGTGTTTAGAAAAGGCTCTGAAGGGACGCTATTCCAGCTTTCGGTGTGACTGTGCTGCACGCTCCACGCAGACCTGGCGGTTTGTTCATTGTACTCGTGTCCCGGCACACTATATTTTTTCTGTTTTTCTTTGTTATAACCTTTGTTCTATTTTTTTTCATTTGTACAGGAGTTATGAACTTGGATGAATATAACTCACTCACAAAATTAGGAACAGCACATCAGATATCAAAACTATGAAGGATGGCTTTGCAAAATTATCAATAACTATGAAAACTCCCAGCTACATGCCGCGGTGGAACTCTCTACAGAGTTATTTTGATACCGCTAGTTTTTGTGTGGTTCACGCTTCTCTTTATTCTTCACTGCGTAGCCTGTTGTTCTACAGCTGCGCGAACCTACCAGACTAACGGAAGCGAATGAGTCATTGCTGGCAGCATTTCGTTTGCCGTAAACGTTTGCGTGAGATACGCACTAAGGCTTTGACCTCACAAGCAGAATGGTGCCTGATGCCTTTGAGGGAATAACGGCGTTTTAACCAGCACAAAAAATATCTCCATATCCGCAAAGTGTCAACCTTGACAAGTGGGCGAAGCACTGGGAATCGTTCCTGCCGTAAATCACCTGCGAGATTGCTCATCCACGCATGTAAATGAGAAACAACACAGGTCTATTATACATAAAATGTATTTTTGCCATTGAGCCGCCGCTTCCCTAGCCATCAACTCCGGGGTAGAAGCTTGTTGTCGGCGTTGTCATTTTGTCGCTGCCTCCGAGCACTCGCCTCGGGTGTAGCTTGCTCTCTGCGTAGACATTAAGCCACCGCAAGCCGCGCTCTCGCCTCCAGCGAAGCAGCTTGTTATTGGCGTTGCCGCTTGGCTATTCCTGGGCGAGGGCCTTTTGACGATCATTTTAAATGTGGAGCATTTTTAGCGAACTTCGGTGACATAGAGTGTATCTATCAATCTATCTGTCTAGCTGCCTTCGACTCTGTGCTCTGGAGACAGTATTGTTATTGGGACATACACCCGAATGGGTAAAGTATACCGTGACTCTAAGACGAACATTAATGGCTGGTCATATCAGGACTATTAAGACTAATTTGTCATGCGCAAACGGTATGATTTGAATGCCACGGCCGTGCTGCTCCTGTGGCCGTTTCTGTCACCTCATGTATCCTGAAATTGGTATGATGAAGCATTCTTGCATGACCAACATGAACGACATGTGTGTAACATGAAAATCATGGCGTACATGTCATGTACAACATGAGGTACATGCCATGCTTAAGGTGCGCTGACGGCTGTTTTTCTAGCTTGATATGCAACAAATATGATCTTGCACGACCTGTCTGTATGACAAACATAAGTGGCAGGTGGTGATATGTAAATCACGACATGTCAGGTATAAAACACGACTTCAATTCTATGCTCATGCACGCTCGCGGCCTGCTTCGCTAGCTCGATATACACCAAATTCGGTATTGTGCAGTGTGACTCTACGATGAACATAGGTGAGATGTAGTAATATGGAACTCATCACAAGTCATGTGACATCATGACATGTGGACGATGAAGGTAAATGACATGTCCAAACATGATAATCATCATGTGCTTGTCATGTAAAACATGGCTACATGCTACGCTCATAGCGTGTTCACGGTCATTTCGCTAGCTCTACATATGCCAAATTTGGCATCACGTCACACGCGAATAGACGACGAAGGTAAATGACACACCCAAATATAATAATCATAACAGTTAAGTCATGTACGGCATATTTTACGTTCGCCTCGTAACGTTGCGCAGATTTTAAATTGACATATCAACCTTCCTCATTCGTACTTCGCATATCATCGATGCCCACTGCACGTGGGATCTGCCTTTTGTGTGTGTGTGTGTGTGTGTGTGGTAGTGGTGGCAAACCGGAAGTTTTGCAATGGTTTTTATTGTTATACGGGAACACACGTAGGCGTTAACATCGCAAGACAAGAACACCCTTGTGACTCAGCTTGGACGTCACATGGGCTTTTACAGGTAATTTAACTGTGTTTGATGGATTTACGCTTAAATCTCAGTTACTTATACCCAACACCAACCTGGGTCAATCCCAAAATATTGACGTCGCCCAATTACACAATGTACATTGCTTGATTCAAGCAGCCTATTAAGTGATCACGCCCTGTAGCATAGTCACGTCACCACGTAAGAGCCAAAAATTGCAAGGTAACACGACGAGGTTGTGGCAATGTGTCACTATGTCACGTCGCGTTGTAAAAATATTACGTACTTTCATACAGTTAAGATGAGTCGGCATGCAACGTGCTTAATGAACGTAGAGAGACTTAAGTGCCCTCCTAATTTTTAGATGCAAAGCATGCTAAGTTTTAGATGTGAAGCATGTGATGCTGGGGCCTGTGTCCGTGACTGCCTCCCTCCAACAGCGTCCACCCTTTCCCTGCCTATGCATGTCCTCACCCGCTTTCTCTCCTCTCCTACCCTTTCTGGCATCCCCCCAGCGCATTCGCGTCCCCTGTCTCCTCTTCCACGCTCCCCCTATCTCTCCCGACTCGCTGACGAAGGCAATGAGACGCTTCCTCAATACACACGGTCGCTTCGTAACCAATTGATTGCCGGTCTTGCGGCGTTCCACGTTTCTGTGAGACCGAGCGCGTCTGCTTTGGTTAGCACAGGATCCCGTTCGATGTCTCAGGAGTGTGCGTTGAGGGACCGGCTGTTTAGCAGTGCTATATTCATGCTCACCGGCAGCATTCACGGCAGCAGTCACTGGCATGAAACGATGGTCGTCGGCACTGTTAGTCAGGTATATGCTCTGAATGTTGGTGTACCTGCTTAAGGCGACATAGACGAGCTTCTGTGGGTGCCGATCACCATCTCCCCGCTGCTTGTCATCCGCACATCAATCTTTTCAGCTAGAGATGACATAATTTTTAGGCATAATTTTTAATACGTGGTTTGCCTCTTACTTTTTTCCTTTGCAGCTACTACAACGGCGCCATGCCTGGCATCGTGACGCGAGATCGTGAATTGATTAAGCGCATCTTCATCAACGACTTTCAGTACTTCACGGGACGACAGGTGAGACGAGTTAGAATTCAGGACTCTTGAATTGGCATGCACGATTTTCTATTGCGATAACAGTTATGTGGTTAATATGCACGAATTTTTGCCGTCACCTGCTTTTTCATATGCAATTTAAATAACACAAGTCCATGCAATGAACTACGTTCTACCAGTGAGGAATACCGCGTGAGCGCGGATCATGAATGAGGCTGTAGCATAAATGAAACCAGCCAGCCGACTCGGTCGGACAGGGGGCGCAAGCGATGACATCATCCGCGTGTGAGGCCGGCTGTCGAGTGCCCCTCAAGCAAGGAAGAATCACCTTGTCCTTCTTTTGTAAGGAGCATGAATAGACGCCAGTCGATGGGGAGGTGTTTGCGTCGCTCGAACTGCAACTACGAACTTTCACCATAAGGATCAGGTCTCAAGCGCTACAGTAAACTGAATCGGGGGCTGCTTCCGAGCTTAGTTGATACAACGACATTATGAAACCGGTAATCGCATAAAGACGGGAAACAGGGACAAGCAGATCACACAGAGATTGATTCAGGGGCCGTGGGTCCGAGCGCTCTGTGTGTCTTCATATTGTTCCCGTCTTCTTTCGCTTACTAGTTTCAAAATGATACAATAAAGAAGGCAAAAGCGGTCACGAGCACTATCTGAGCAAGCATCAGCAAACAGCTCGTATATGTGTTCTGCCCTCACCACTTCTCGTTAAGAAGACAGAAGACGCCAGATACGCTATTCTATCTGGAGCGGCCGTATTTCCTTAAACCAATGTTTCGAAGAGTTGATCAAATCTAAAAGAGTAAGCTGCTAGCCTTACTTCGTATAATCGACGTCTTGGAGGAGCTAGTGTACACAATTTTCTTTTCGACTGATGGGCGCCACCGTCTTGGACTGGTAAGCATTTGTTTTGTAGATGTTTTATGTCACAATATGAAATGATTGTGGTCATGAAATCGTTGAATGTGCCGTCAAAGCGTTTTCGTGTGTGTGAGTTCACCGTAGCACTGTTTGTTTATTTGACGCGAACACTAAACTGCAACGTAATCAGTCCAAGATGGCGGCGCTTTAGTGCGTTTGGAAAATAGTGTATAGCCTTACAACTTGTTGCTCTCGCATTCCCTGGTTCCTCCTTGTGGGGACACTGCAATTTTTCCCAAGATAAACACTCGCTGAACGCTTCGTTACAAATACGACTCTACTAAGTAAGTATAGCAACCGTTACGCTAAGAGACACAGTTGCGCATCACGTCGCTCGTTTTAAAGAGTACCGTCAGATATTGCTATTGGTTTTCGCGCATGCAGCTAAAATGTTCGAGAGCTATGGGTTTAAGTGCGATTCAATCCACATGTTTCTCCTTCCGGCAGATCATGGCCCTCGTGTCGAAAAACCTTCCTGTCAATGAAGTCAGACTCAGCAGGGTGTCCGGAGACGATTGGCGCTACTTAAAGAATGTCTTGATTCCCGCCTTCAAGACGAACAATATCAAGAAGGTAGGTCAAAACACTTTGTTACTCATTTCATTCTAATTCCTTTATTTATTTATTTATTTACTATTTATTTGTTGAGTAATTCATTCATTCAACCATTCTTTAACTGGCCCGATGGTCACTTAGTGAGTCAGTAGACTTATTGGCTTATTGGTTAACAGAACTTAGCGTCTCAAAACTTTGCAGCCCAGAAAAAGAAACATTGTTCAGTGGGAGGCTCCAAAATAATTTCAAGCAGTAGCTCTCACTGAGATTAATTATTTCGCCTTCTGAAAGCTGTCTTAGTGGCAAAAGTATGTCTTATTTGGTTCTATGTGTATACTACAACTTGGGCATTGTTTTCATTATAGTAAGCATTGTTGTTTTCTTTGTTATTCTAGTAATGACTGTTTGGAGCATATGTTGTGCTGACTATGAATCATGATACAGCTTCTAGCACATCTTTGTGGTAGCTCAGCATTAACACTCTATAGAGGGACTATCTACCACCTTTTGCACTGGGTTATGTGCACACGGGTCGGCAGAATGTTACTCCAGCTTATTTTTTTTAACTTGTTCACCTCTGGCCAAGGCAAAATTGTGATTGCAAAGTATTGATGTCTGAGGCAGGAACTGTTTTTTTTTTTATATGGCATCATCCCAAAGGTGGGCCGTCGATTCTGCAAGAACTAGCGACTTTAACTACGTTGTTTTGTTTACTCTAGAAAATTTCTAAACAGAAGGATGTATAAGTACTAAAACTTACTATAATACAGACACGACATGCTCTCATATTGCAACTGTGATTCGGTATAGGCCAGAAGTGATCGCTATATAGGGAACAAGAAAAGATGCTTCGCAAAATACTCCTATGTACTGCGAAAGATTATGGGCGCATCATGTAGAATATATTAAGTTCGTTGTGGTTACCTTCGCAATACAATTTTCTGCACCTCATCCTACGCTTTCGTAACGGCATAGTGACAGAGGATGTAGCGTCGTCGGGGTAGATTGGGTGGGATGACCAAGATCAGGCAGGTCATGAAAGCAGGACGTCCATTTAGGAAACTTGAAAAAAGGGATTTATTTGCATTCAAAGAAAAGTTAACTGGTCATCGTTGTTCCCCCTTCTGCGCCCCCCGTCTCCTCCGTCCTTTTTATCCCTCTCGTTTCCGCCCCTCTCCCTCTATCTCGGTCCATCAGTCCACTTCACGAAAGGCAGGGGCGGCCCGCAGTAAGAGGGGGGGATCAAGGGGGTGAATCGTCCACCCGGAACCCGACTTCCCCTCAGCTCTATGCTCAGTTGTTCCGGGTGGACCCATCCCTCCAAGAAGCAGCGACGAATCTTTCGTTCCCCGAAACCGCCGCCGCATTCCGCAGGGCCCAGCCGTGGCGCCAGCGCACCGTCCCGCGACACAATGGTCAGCCTCAACAGTCGCTGCGTTCGCGGAACTGAGTGGCGGCGACATCGCGCTCGTCTCGAAGACGTCACTGGCAGCGGGACGCAACAGACTCCTCCGCCGCCGAAAGACTCGACTCGAGGGTGGCCAACTGTCGGGTCACCTGAAGCGTCGAGACGACATGTGAAAACACTCGGCCTCTCTGGGCCTCAGCACTCGCATCACCAATAACCCTGTTCCAGGGATACACAACACAAGCACACACACTCTGGTCGGCGTGCCCGAGCGACACGCCCACCGGACGCCAAAACTGCCATAATTTTACCCCCTGATTGCCCTCTCTTTCTTTCTTTTTTTTTTTTTGTGGTGGTCAGCCCTTGGAAAAATCTAAATGCCGTGACCTCAGCCGCGATAGAAACACATCAGTAAAAAAGAAACAGCAACAAGAAAATCAGTGTTCGACTCTAAAATCCACGGCTCAGTCCATCGGCGTTCTTATTCTGGTTCCCCTTTCTATATTTGACCTCGAAGTTATACTCCTGTAGTATGAGGCTCCATCTCAACAGCCTCCCGTTTTTATTGGACATTTGCTTCAGCCATGAAAGCGGGCAGTGGTCAGTCTCGACCGTGAATTTTGTGCCTTGAATATAGCATCCTAGTTTTTGAATGGCCCACACAATGGACAAACATTCTTTCTCCGAGGCACTGAAAGCCTCTTCTCGGGGAGTCAGCTTCCGACTGAGATAGAGCACCGGATGCTCTTCACCTCCCTCGTTAAGTTGGGCCAAGACGACACCTAGACCTCGGTTGCTGGCGTCGCATTGGAGAATGAATTCTCGGCTAAAGTCTGGCGCGACAAGCACGGGCCGAGAAGACAAAGCTTTCTTCAAGTTTTGGAAGGCCTCCTCCCTCTCGGTGCTCCAAGTTACCACTTCCGGTTCAGGTTTTCGCAGGCTGTCGGTTAGCGTGCTGGCGAGCTCCGAATAATTTGGAATGTAGTGCTGGTAATAGCCTGTCATTCCTAGAAATGTTCGCACCTCCCTTTTGTTTACGGGTCTTGGGAAGTTGACTATCGCAGCTACTTTGGCTTTCATTGGTTCCCGTTTTCCCTGCCCTATGTCGTGTCCCAAATACGTGACACGGGCTTGGCCGAACTGACACTTCTCGGCTTTAATAGTCAGGCCCGCCCCTTTGATTCTTTCAAGCACCGTTCGTGTGTGCTGCAAATGAGACTCCCAATCATTAGAAAATACGGCCACGTCGTCTAGATATGGCACCGCAAATTCTTCTAGTCCTTCTAGCACCCGATCCATTAACCTTGAAAAACAGAAGGGTGCGTTTTTCAAACCAAAGGCCATGGTGACGGGCTGATAAACGCCAAAGGGTGTTACAAATGCTGCATACCGACTTGCTCGTTCAGTTAAGGGCACCTGCCAATATCCTCTCACTAAATCTAGGGTTGAAATGAAGGTAGCCCGGCTTACCAGCTCCACCCTTTCCTCTATGTTCGGCAACGGGTACACCTGGTCTTTTGTGATCGCATTCAACCTGCGATAATCGACGCATGGCCGTGGTTCTTTCCCCGGCACCTCGACCAACATCAAAGGGGAGCAATAGTCACTATATGCTTCTTTGATCACGCCAAGGCGAAGCATCCTTTTAACTTCCGCCTTCATTAAGTCCAGCTGTCGCGGAGACACGCGGTACGCCTTCGAGCTAAAAGGGACCTCTGTAGTCAGCTCGATATCATGTTGTACCAAATGAGTCCTTCCGAGCCTTTCCCCAAAACATTCCAGATATTCCTGAATAAGGCTCTTCAGATCCTCGACTTTAGCTGTACCCAACTCGTCTTTGTTAACTGCACACGCGATTATCTCTTCTACACTAGGGCCCGTGTTCCCAGGAAAACAAGGTACCTCTAGAGAAACCTCTTCTGAAACATTCATGGCGATGCTAACAATTGCTGCTCGCTCTAAAAATGGCTTCATTAGGTTTACGTGGTAGACCCTGTCCTCGCGTTTTCTTCCAGGTAATCTCACGGTGTAGTTTACTTCCGAAAGGCGACTGATAACCTCGGCAGGTCCATCCCAGTGGACCTCCAGTTTATTCTGGCGATTAGGCCTCAATATCATCACTTTGTCGCCCGGGTTGAATGATCGCGTCCTGGCATTTCTATCATAGTAGCGCTTTGAAGCGTCTCGCCTCGCCTCTAGGTTGCCCTTCACGATCTCACGACACTTATGTAACCTTTGCATTAGGTTCAACACATACTCGATCACACATTTAGGCCCCCGATCATCCTCCCACAGTTCGCGGACTAGCCTCAGCGGACCTCGAAGATTCCGGCCATACACCAGCTCTGCCGGTGCGAACCCGGTTCCCTCGTGTGGCACTGTGCGCAACGCAAATAGCGTGCCCGGTAAACAACCATCCCAATCACACTTCCTTTCATGGCAAACAGCTCTCAATACTTTTTTTAGGGTAGCATGCCATCTCTCCACACTGTTGCTTTGTGGGTGGTAAACCGAGCTATGCAAAATTTTAACGCCACATTTCTCGAGAAACATGGTCGTGAGAGCACTCGTGAAAACGGTTCCCTGATCCGATTGCATTTCGGCAGGGAAACCGAGGCGCGAAAATATAGAAAGCAACGCATCGACTACCTCGACCGAAGTTGCCTCCTGTAAGGGCACCGCCTCGGGGAACTTCGTTGCAGGACACAATAGTGTGAGAATGTATCTGTTCCCCGCACTTGTTTTCGGCAACGGCCCCACCAAATCTACAACAACTCTGCGGAAGGGTTCAGAAATAATGGGCACTTTTACCATCGGGGCCTTCCATTTGTCGTTAGACCTACCGGCTCTCTGGCAAGCGTCACAAGTCTTCACGAAATTCTGCACGTCCCTGAAACACCCCGGCCAATAAAATTCCTGTAGCAATCTTTTCTTGGTTTTATTTATGCCCAGGTGTCCTGCCCATGAGTGATCGTGACAAAGACTGAGTAGGTCCTTGCGGTATGGTGATGGCACCACCAATTGATCGTAGCACTGCCCTCGCCTATCTCGGTATTTACGATATAGGATACCGTTCCTCACTTCGAAAGAGATGTTTCTTGACGAAACACCTTCACTGTTTCCGTTGTTCATAACCGCTATACTAGGGTCAGTTTTCTGAGACAGCCGTAACGCTTCCCTGTCAACCCCTAGCATGCGCTCGTAGCTGTGCGAGATTGGGGCCAACACGGACCCCTGCAAACTATGATCTTTTCCTTTCGAAGGTTTCTTTCTTTTCTCAATTATCGGCTTCTTAATCTGACCATTTTCCGGATTTTCGGTCGGAGGAATAGGGATAAGTGCCTCGTCGGGCTTAACTTCTTCGGATTCAGTTGTTAACTCTTTCGCTTTGGCACCTTCCCCTTCCCCGTAACGCAGCTGCTGAGCCAATACGCGTGCTTTCGATCTCGTCAAAGCCATGACCTGGGCATCAGCAAAAGTGCACCCCCTGTCGTTGAGTAGTGACTCCGAGCTGTTCGAGAAAAGGTACGGGTAGCCCTCTGGTAGCCCACGGGAGACTGCTGCTACTGTCTCGATCGCTCCAAAAGGACCCCGAATGTGTACCTTTGCCATAGGTAAACACACTGAATCTTCGCTGACGGCCTGTCTTATCCACGCGCATTCGGATAAGTAGTCTTCACTTTTTACGTAGTTCGGATGGACTACGTCCATAGTGGCCGCGGAGTCTCTGAGTACCCTACACCTTTTGTCATTAACCATTAAATCTGTCGTGTAAGGTTTCAAAAGATCTAGGTTACTCGGGTGATCGCTTACGCAAGCAAACACTGGCCTACCTTTTGAGCAGTTTCGGGCAAAGTGACCTGTTTCGTTGCACTTGAAACATAGCGCCTTAGCTCGCGACTCTAACTCTTCTAAATGATTTCTGACCTCCTTTCTGTTCTTTTCCTGCTCTTTCAGCTTGCCTTCAGCACGCGCCGAATTTTGATTAGTTTCCTCTCGCTCTTTTGTTGCGCTTTGCGGTCCCCGAGTGTAAGCTTGGGGCCGTGGTGCAGGCCTTTGATAGTGATGTGCGCTGTTGATCGGGGTCCTGAAGCCTCGACTGGCCACGTACTCGTCGGCAAGCTGTGCTGCACTCCTAACAGACACACCTTCCTGCCTATCCTTGACCCACAGGCGCACGTTATCCGGCAGGGTGTCATAAAACTGCTCCAAACAAATTAGATCCCTCAGTTTACTTAAGTTATCCGCACCTGCTCCTTTCACCCACTCTGAAAAATTATCACTCAGGCTACACGCAAACTCAACAAAGCTTTCACCAGGCTTCTTTCTTTCCCGTCTAAATCTCCTCCGAAATTCCTCTGTGGAGAGCCTGTATTTTGCGAGTAATGTCGACTTCACTGAACTGTATACGCCTGCCTCGGCTGCGCTCAGTCTGGCCACGACCTGCGAGGCCTCACCCGGTAACAACGCAAGCAACCGCTCTGGCCAGGTGTCCTGGTGAAATGAATGTTTCTCACAGATCCGTTCAAAATTAATCAGGTAGAGACCAATGTCCTCGCCTGTTTTGTACGGCTGAAGCAAACTCGTCATCTTCAGGTTCTCAGTATGCGGCGGCGCCGCATCTGCACTGCGTGCTAATCTCGCCTGCTCTAGCTTTATTCTCTCGAGCTCAATTTCGGCCTGTCTTTGTTCTCTCCTTTCCTGCCTTTCCTTCTCTTCCGCTCTTTCCCTCTTTTCTTCCTCCCTTTGTTTCTTCTCCTCACATATCTTTTCCCAGGCCTCGCTGAGCTCGTCCTCCTCGAAACCCCCTTCGATTATCGCACTGCGAATTTCGGGCTTCCTTAACCTGCTATTGATATCCAAGCTGAGCTCTACTGCTAACAGCAACAGCTCTTCTTTCTTTAACACTCCGATATCCATATCTTCACAAGAGCCAACCAATACTTCTGCAATATTCACCGCACACTTGTGGCGGCCCTTCAGAGCCAATTGCCCGATAGAACCCTGTTCTTATCGTCCGGCAAAACGTGATCGCTCAAGCACTCACCTAACCTCGAGCTGCCGAAGGCCGTGTCTCCTGGAGCCACGTTCCCAGGTCCGCCGATCCCAGATCGTCGGGTCTGCCTTCTGCTGCTCGTCCTTAGTTTCCGGTAGTCGTTACTGCGACGGTTGTGCCTCCCGGAGCCACGAAGTCTCGCTCTGCCGATCCCGGATCCGCAGAAGTCGATCTTCCGTCCGCAGCTACTTCCAACCTCGAGCTGGCGAAGGACGTGTCTCCCAGAGCCACGTTCACAGGACCGCCGATCCCAGATCGTCTGGTCTGCCTTCTGCTGCTCGTCCTTAGTTTCCTGGAGTCGTCCAAAACTTCATGCCGTTACTGCGACGGTTGTGCCTCCCGGAGCCACGAGGTCTCGTTCTGCTGATCCCGGATCCACAGAAGTCGATCTTCCGTCCGCAGTTTTCTGCATGCCTTTTCCTGATTCCACCGCTGCCATCCAGTTTGTAGCGTCGTCGGGGTAGATTGGGTGGGATGACCAAGATCAGGCAGGTCATGAAAGCAGGACGTCCATTTAGGAAACTTGAAAAAAGGGATTTATTTGCATTCAAAGAAAAGTTAACTGGTCATCGTTGTTCCCCCTTCTGCGCCCCCCGTCTCCTCCGTCCTTTTTATCCCTCTCGTTGCCGCCCCTCTCCCTCTATCTCGGTCCATCAGTCCACTTCACGAAAGGCAGGGGCGGCCCGCAGTAAGAGGGGGGGATCAAGGGGGTGAATCGTCCACCCGGAACCCGACTTCCCCTCAGCTCTATGCTCAGTTGTTCCGGGTGGACCCATCCCTCCAAGAAGCAGCGACGAATCTTTCGTTCCCCGAAACCGCCGCCGCATTCCGCAGGGCCCAGCCGTGGCGCCAGCGCACCGTCCCGCGACACAATGGTCAGCCTCAACAGTCGCTGCGTTCGCGGAACTGAGTGGCGGCGACATCGCGCTCGTCTCGAAGACGTCACTGGCAGCGGGACGCAACAAGGAGTTGCCTCGGTGTATCGGCTAGGGTGCTCGGCTGACGACCCGAAGGTCGCGGGTTCAATGCCGGTCACGTTTCGATGGAGACGAAATGCTAGAGGCCCAGGTATACGGTGTAATGTCAGTGCACACTAAAGAACACCGGAGGGCGAAAATTTCAAGAGCCCACCACTACGGCGTCTCTCATAATCACATCTTGGTTTTGGGCTGTAAAACCACGCACAGTATTATGACAACGCCAGAGGAATTTTGTTGCACCCCCCGAACTCAGCTGGAGAATATGAATGTTCCATAAGTTCGAGTTAGTGTTATTGTGTTCCATGTGGATCCACTAACTGTGAATTTGTTGCTTTCCAACGGAGTATGCAAGGTGCGCACGTGCTTGATTTTGCGGCATCAGTCCACGTGCGAGCCGAATAACAGCCGTTTAAAACGAGGACCCGTGGTCGGGGAACTGGACGACTATGTTTCCTCTATCAGAGCTAGCTCCGCATTTCCCGCTTCCTTCTTCTCTTTACATCTGTCATTCATCTCCCAGAGCCCACGTGTGATAGACTTCTATTAGTTCGCTATAGGGAACTGATATAAGCCTCTTCCTGCGCAATGTGGAATGCTTTCTTCGGGGATGGCTGTATTTTTCCAATCCTTTCAAGATCTTCTTTTCAGTGAAATAACAGACACGCCTGTAGTCGACATTGCAGTCATTTATTTTGTTCAGACGCAGCGGGCTCTCTCGCCTTTGAATATTACGCCTTCTGTTGCGGCGAAACCATGTAGTCTGTCAGTGTGTGTTGTGGTTTTTGCCGAGGTAGCAATAACATCGACAGTCTCGACGGGTTGTTTCGACCGTCGCCGTCAATCCCCGTATACAGCTCGAATCGATGAGATCCCCCAACGCTTCATACGTCCTCCTCGAGTGTAATAGCGGACTATCAGGGACGATGATCGAGGCTGGAGTAGAAATCAAGTGAACCGGCCCATCTTCATCGCTAGGAAAGCGTATAAAATCGGATCCCCACCCCCACCCCCTTGTTAGACAGGCCGTTGAATTCCCAAGCACAGAGGATATGCCCGCTTGACTTTAACGAGCATAAACAGATGCTAGGGATGGGTTGGGGGAGTGTAGAAGTGTTGCTTGAACAGCAGCTGTGAACCTCTATTTCACGGGTGCGGTCGCAATGGCTGGCGCACGCGCTACTTCGCCATCTTGGCAGTCATGAGCGGCCGGCTCGCATATCGTTCTATGTACTGCACTCCCAACGCAAAGAGAATGTGCAAAAAATGTTCCTTGAGCGGCCGTATTCTCTCCTACCAGTGATTTGTGGAGTTGCGTGAGATCGTATCCGAGAGTCAGATGCCAGCCTCACTTCGTATAAGATTACAGTTGGCTGCTATATCCCAATCATTTCTTCACCCTTGCGGAAACTGTGACATTTTTTTTAGAATTTGCTAATTGTTCGTTAATTTTTGTTGCCTTTTTAACATATCTCGTTCCGTGGGTGTTCTCATGTTGCCTGTGAAGTCCAGTGCTCTGGTGGCCATACTCGCTGATATCAAAGGTTGCTTTGTTTATTGATTTATGTCATGTATTTCGCATTCATCATTTTAAAGCTTGTAAAACGTGCAAAAAGGAGTGGTGAATAAAACGAAGTAAACAGGCAGTCATTCAGTAAGCAACACTGTCAACTTATTTCCTGGCTGCGTTGATTTCAGGCTTTCTCTGTCATGTACGACTGCGCCGAGGAGCTCTCGCGCGTCATGGACTCCAAGATCTCGGGCTCTGACGGCTGCGTCGAGGTGTTCCAACCGTTCTGCAACCTGGCCACTGATTTCGGTCTGCAGTTCTTCGCCGGCGCTCGCACAGACGTGCAGAGAGACAACGAAGCCGCGCAGGCCCTGTGCAAGGCAGCTCGCCAAAGCGTCGGCCAATTCGGCAGCGCCGCGCTTCTGTTGCTCAGTGAGTGCGCCATCCAATGAGCCGTTCATGAGGTATCTTCTCGTGATGTATTTCGCATTAGCAAGTGGGGGATGAAAATGAATGCGGATGGAGCAGCGAAGAGAAGAATGCGAAGATTTAAAAACGCAGGAAAGGTTTAAAGTTGGAATGTACCATAGGCCGGCAAAAATTCGGGAGCTCACTCACACTCATTCATTTATTATATTTTGCGCTTTCGGTTCCCTCGGACCCAGACTCACCAATTCCTTCCCTATCCACACTCACTCGGACTCGTTCACGAAAATTATGTTCAGCTGGAAACTCTCGTACCCAAGATTACCAAAATATCCCTCAACTGGACTCATTCAGAATCAGACTCACTCCCCGGTCTGAGTCTGAGTTAGTCCAATTTTGTCGACTATGGGTACGTTAGACTAAAATTAGCTTCTTCAATCATGGTTACGTAATCGGTGCTCTTCTCGGCGCTGTTCTATATAGTACCTTCGAATACTAGTTATAAGTGGTCGCAAACGAGTCAGGACATTTTTTTCTTGAAAGAGATGTCAACACAGGCTATATTTGTCGAGAACATTTCTGAAAGAAGGGGTGGGGGAGAAGCTTTGATCAATAAATAAGGAAATGGATTATGAATGATACCGTTTTCGAATACTTGTGAGTACGAACGTGGATCCAAGTAAGGGTCGCACTAAGGCTGAAGATGAGGAGCACCCATGATGGCCAACGCAAAGAGCGAAGAACTTGCACAGTAGCGTAGCCAGAATTATTCTTTTTTCGGGCGGTAGCGGGTTCAACTATAGTTTATGTATGTTCGTGTGGGCCTTTGCGTGCGCACATAGACACGCGAAATTGAAACATTTTGGTAGGGGGTTTTGAAATGCTCCTAACCCCGCTGGCTATACGCCGATGAAGCTGTATAGTGAACCAGATGACAGAGGACAGCGCCTTCGTCATTTACATTTATTACACCATCAAATACTACATCGTATGTAATTGCAAAATAATTTTCCGACTTGATCTGGCGTTCTTCATGGCGATATGGAAGGTAAAGCACCGTTTTCGACATGAAAACTTATTCGTAAGTAACCATTGTCACAGCGGTCTAACGTTGGCTTCAAATTAACTTTCTCTCCAGCAGAAAACCGTACTCTTTTGTCGAAGTCAGCGAAAAAAGACAACGTAACAGTATATGCCCCAGCGCTTGTGGTCCCCTCGGAATCAAGAAAATCGTATCAATATAGGCACAATAAAAGCTTTTTTAAAGATAAGCCAGTTTTCATTTTTTCTAATATTATGTTATGTCTACACTGTAACTTCACGTAAAATGAGCAGCCAGACAGTTGTACCCAATCAGGGCTGCGCAGAGATACGCAGATAGGTATTCCGCAATACAGGTGTTGAAAGACACGTGTTGTAAGCTGAAAATACAGATACTGAGATACATCTGTTTTATACGTAATGGAATATCCTAAGTACCGTAGATGTTTCGCTTTTACTTAAGTATGGACAACTGCCTTCTCTCAAGGCCCTCTCTCACACACAGCTGGTGTCTGCCGCCATTTTCTACCTAACTATGAAGATTGCAAAGCCACGTATGTCTGAATACATCTGGCCGCGGCTGCATCGTTCAGCGGACAATTCGCTAACCGGCGACGGGCCTTTCTCTTCCTGTCAGCTATCCCCCCCTTCCCCCGTTACTGATCGGGTCACGCGTTTCACCAGTTGCTGGAAAAGCGTTAGGAATAACGTGCCTACCGAAAGCGACCGTTAGCCAATGATATTCGTCGGTGGTGCTTCAATAGTTTTTGGCACCTAAAAAAAAGGGGGGGGGGGGGGGATCTAGATACTTCAGGATAATCTGGAGATACTTTTGCGTGAATAGGGAAAAGTTTACGGGAATACAGATACAGCACTATAGATACTGGAACAACTTCGTCTCGAGGATTCCGACGCTTTGCAACGATATTTGTCGGGTGTAGCACAATGTTGTGAACAATGTGGCAGTGCATTAGAACATTCATGTCAAGTATATCACTTGAATCCTTACAACGGCTGCCAATGAATTGGGTGATACATCAAATATGTGTTTTGCGGGGAAAGTTGCTTTGTTAATGTCACTATATACGTTGGTGCAAGAGGCTTTTCTCTGGACAGGCTTGCAAAGGAGAAGCGTTTCCATAGGTGAAGAGGGTTTGAGTGTGTGTTATAACAAATAAACACCGCCTTCATGGCTGGGAAGTCCTGCGGCATCTCTTTTGGGGTCATCTAGTTATCGTAAAAAATTAAGGATGCAGCACCAGCCCCGGGGGGCGGCGCCTCTCACATAGCTGACAATACAGACTTTACACATATTATATATATACTGGCAATACCGATTTGCCGCCAAGGTGCCGAGTGATTTTACAACGTGCCTTTCTCTGCACCTGAAGAAATCGGTGCTTCAATTTCAGCGTAACAGACCACCTTTGTTTGGCGTAGCGCTAAGGTCCTCCTAACTCCTTCTTTGAAACAGCACAACTGCTTTCCGACAAAAACAAGAAACTAAATATGCCCATGGCCTGTAGAGGATCACGTTGTAATGATTACGTCTTAAACGGATTTCACTGCTGAAATACAAAACATTTCGCGAAGGAATCTCGATGCATGACTACAGCTACTACAACTATCTCTAAGATAATATCACGATCACTGACACATTCGTTGGGTATTTATTCACTTGCTCACACTCATGCGAGAAGCTACCCAATCGTACTCAATAACCAGTCTATTCGCAGGAAATTGTAGGTACAACGCAAGAAAAGTAGAAAGGACAAACAGATAAAGAAAGTGCTGGCGTTAAAATGCTGAAAGTCATCGCTCTTTCCTGCCTCTGTCCTTTTTACCTATTTCGGGGCCCTGTACCAACTATCTTAAGCTTGAACCACCTTTTCCAAATCGAGCTCTGGGTACTTTTTGCTGGCCAAGCATTCGTTCACACTTACCGGCAGATATTCTACGTCTACGCCGCTACATACGCTTGGCTTGTCAAACGACCTCTTTTCTGGTGATATAGACCCATTCCATGTTTGTAAACACAGGTAGGGAGACGTCGACATTATGGGTAAAATTACAGCGACGTCCGCACGTAACTTCTGCTCCCAATTTTCGGCGGGAAAGTCCGACTCCATGCCCCGCGCCTTAAGCACTGAAAGTTGCGATGTGCGTCAACAAATAAAACGATGTTGTGAGACGCGACTTGCCATCACATTTATGTTTCCTGCCAATAATTACTTCAGGGGCAGGAACTGCGTTAGGCAGGGCGTCTTTTGCCTACAAAGCGAAACCAAACGCCTGACGACAGCGCCATCGCATTTTCATGACGTATGTCCGGTGGAATTCGTTTATGAAAAAGCGAACTTACTCATGAGCCAACTGACTAGGGCTCACTCAGACTCACATCGAGTCATGACTGTGTGACTGAGTGATTCCGGGTGAGAAATATTTTGGCGAGTCCGGTTGAAGAACATTTTCGTGAGTGTGAGTCCCAGTGAGTCCGGCTATGAAAAACTTTGATGAGTCTGAGTCCGAGTGAGTCCGAAGCACGAGGTGTACTTTTTGAGTGAGTTTGAGTGAATTCCACTTTTTCTTTTTTGCTGGCTTATGGCGGCGAGTAAGCACATTGTCCAGTCGAACGTCACTTTTTTAAACCATTCTTTGCACTTCAAATTGGCGAAAAACTAAACACCGATGAACGAAACCACTCATTCATCTTCTGTTACTTTCAATTCCATGGTTAATTATTATTCAAGAGCTAACAACTACTATAATGGCCCGGTCATGCTAAAACATTAAGTGTAACACGCGGAACTTCTACAAGAAGTTTTCAAGTGTGCAAGTGTGGCATAACTTTATTTTTGAATTTATTTTGGTTGTAACTTTCAGATCTTCTCCCGGACAGTCCCCTAATGCACAAATTGCTTGTCAAATTCCGCTCCTACTTCACTCAGCTGCCTTCGGACGAGATGCTTGACCGGATGGTTCCTATCATCAATCTCAGAAGAGCGAATCCTGAGGTATACTTATGCTCTTCAGCTATACGATATAGGTTAATCCAAGCCTTCCCTGGCAGGCACGTAGCCACAATTTTTTTCGGGGAGGGGTGGGGGGAGGGCACGCTTTGATTTTTAAAGGAGCACCCCCGTAAAATGACCATTTTCGCTCTCTATGTGATATTCAAAAAAATTGGGGGGGGGGGGGGGGTCACGTGCCACCTACTGGCTACGCCCTTGTTCCTTGTAGTTGGTAACACAGCTTCGTGCACACAGTTGCACCTAACTAGTTTTCACCATTTTTGTGTCTCGTTTAATGAAATGAGGCGTAAGCAGAGTTCCGCTTCAGCCAGGGAGGGGGGGGGGGGGCAAAAGTTTCTCGAAGCACTTCCCCTTCCTATTTTGTCACTGTAGGGGGCTCACTTTGCGCCCTCTCTCCGAGTCACAGCGCCCCCTCATCCCTATAAGGTCAATGTGTGTGATTGACTTTCGTGCCCCCCCCCCCCCTGTTAAGTGACGAGGGTGTAGCCACCCCCTCCCTAGTCCGCACGCCAATGCCGGTAGTATAGCTTACGCGGACATCCGATGCCAGACATTGGGAAGTAGTATACCAGATTGTATAATTCCACATCCACTATTTATATCTTTTGACGCTGTAAGCTCACTGACATAAGGTATACGAAGATGATATTGGGCCTGCGTGTGAATTCATACAAGACAATTCGGCCTATGTATTTCATCAATGAAGCATTTAAATGCGCCAGGGTGAGAACGAAGAAGTGATTTTACCCAATAACGCTCTATTATTGCTGATGTATTGTTTTGAGGAAGAAGAGCAGTGTCCTCAGCCAGAGAACCTGTGCAAGCGTTAATTATACTGTTCCTGTGTTCACTTTTAATATGTTACATTAACTCCCGTGCCCTTGGTGCATCATTAACCCCAACGTGGTGGTCTAGTGGCTAAGGCACTCAGCTGCTGACCCGCAGGTCGCGGGATCGAATCCCGGCTGCGGCGGCTGCAATTTCGATGGGGGCGAAAACAATGTAGGCCCGTGTGTTCAGATGTGGGTGCACGTTAGAGAACCCCAGGTGGTTGAAATTACCATAGCCCTTCACTATGGCGTCTCTCATAACCATCATAACCATGTGGCGGTTTTGGTAAACACCCTACATATCAATCAGTCATCATTATTTATAGTTATATCTACTCATGGATGAAGCGATAACCTAATCTTTCGAAATATTTCTGAGTGGTAGTGGTGTAGTCGTTTCTTAAAACATTAGTTTTATAGACGAAACGCGGAAAAACAACTTTTCTAGCGTGTTGGCTTTGCTACTTACGACCTATATTCGACCAATGCCTATAGAAAATCGGTTTTTTGTAGAGTGAACAATTAGTGCAATCGTTCTGCAATGTGATGTCCGGTAAACTTGAAGAGTTTGTAATTGAGATGCAAATGGAAACCTACTAATAAAGAACGTTGAATAATGGCAGTGACCGTCCAAATCATACAAGCCCACGATAGCCTCAATCGCGTCTTAATGGAGCTCCCTCGCGGTCACACAAAATAAATAAATCCTAAAACACAATACAAAAAGAAAGCATTAAATTTTCGCAGGCTTTCGCAATTCGTGACGAGTGGAAAAAGTTCAATATGCGCGATATTCTTTAGGTATATAGCTCACTTGAGATATATATATCAATCAATGAAGGTCTGAGACTATTCTTTTTAAGGCTCGCGGTGTTGACACGCGTAAGTAATGAACGGGAGTACGTCATCCCAGTTCTTGTGGTCGCATGAGACGTACATAGACAACATGTTGATAATGGTGCGGTTGGTACGCTCCGTCAGACCATTAGTTTGGGGGTAGTATGGTGTCGAGTGACGCAGGCGGGATTCACATAAACGGAGTAGCTCCTCCACGACATCCGCTGTGAATTGTCGTCCCCGAACACTGATAATCAGGCGAGGTGGGCCATGTCGGAGGATGACGTACTGTAACAAAAACGACAAGACTTCACTGGCAGTTGCGGAGGGGACGGCCGCCGTCTCACAGTAGCGTGTGTGGTAGTCGACGCAACAATTATCCATCAGTTGCCCTCAGCCGATTTTGGGAAGGGGCCCAGAAAGTCTATCCTTACTTGTTCGAAAGGTGTGCTTCGAGTTCGCATTGGCTGTAAAAGACCAGCTGGACCAGTTGATGGATGTTTGTGACGCTGACATTGCATGCAGCTTGCCACATAACTCTCAACAGACTTCTGCATACCAGGCCAATAAAAGCGCTCTTTAGTCCGGTGAAGCGTCCGCGCCATACCTAAATGTCCAGATGTAGGGTCGTCATGCATGACACTCATAATAACGGTTCGCAGGCTCTCCGGGACCACTAGAAGGAAACGCGCGCCACTGCTGGAGAAGTTCCTTTTGAACAACAGTTCATCACGCATACTGAAATGGCGTGCACTAGTGGAAGCGGATGGAGCGGCGAATAGTGGTGCTAGTTTAGCGTCCTTCCGCCGTTCTGCTCTGAAACTGGGATATTCCGGGAACGTAGGCGACACAGACGCTACAAGCTGGTCAAGGTCATCGGATTCACAGTCTGTTGTGCTAAGTGGCATACGTGAAAGATAGTCCGCGTCAGCATGTCGACGACCACTCTTGTAAGCGACGGTAAAACTGTATTCTTGTAGCCGGAGCGCCCAGCGCGCAAGGCAGCCACAAGGGTCACGAAGGTTGACAAGCCAACACAACGAGTGGTGGTCGGTTACGACTGTGAATGGGCGTCCGTACAGGTAAGACCTAAACCACTGAATTGCAAATAAAACCGTCAGGTATTCTTGTTCTGTAACAGTGTAGTTTTGTTCCGGCCTGCTTAGGGAGTGACTTGCGTATGCGATGACGTGTTCGCGGTCGCCGTAACGTTGTACTAGGGCGGCTTCAATACCTATGCCGCCAGCATCCGTATGAAGCTCTGTCGGAGCAGAAGGACTGAAGTGCTGAAGTACGGGTCGTGACGTCAACAAAAACTTCAATTGACGGAATGAATAATCGCACTCCGGAGTCCACTCAAAGGGATTGTCCTTTCGTAAGAGGCATGTGAGAGGATACGCAACGTCGGCAAACTTTGGAATAAAGCGGCGGAAGTATGAACAAAGCCCCAGGAAACTACGAAGCTCCTTGACGGAACGCGGTGCATTGAATGCCGCAACTGCTGCTGTCTTCTGGGGGTCAGCGCGGATGCCAGCCTTGTCAACGAGATTCCCGAGCACAAGCATCTGGCGGTCTCCAAAGTGGCATTTCTTCGAGTTTAAATTAGGCCAGCATTTCGGATGCAGTTCAAACCAGTATCCAGACGAGAGTTGTGTTCACTGAACGTGCGGCCAAAGATGACGACGTCGTCGAGGTAGCACACGCAGATGTTCCACTTCAAGCCACGCAGAATGGTGTCCATAAACCTCTCGAACGTTGCCGGTGCATTGCACAGTTTAAATGGCATCACGTTGAATTCAAACAGCCCATCAGGGGTTACAAAGGCAGTCTTTTTCTTGTCCTCTGGGTGCATCGGAATTTGCCAATAACTGGATCGCAAGTCTACGGAGGAAAAATAAGAGGCCGAATGTAAGCAGTCTATTGCGTCCTCTATACGGGGCAGCGGGTATACGTCCTTTTTAGTCACGGCATTCAGTCGGCGATAGTCGACGCAAAATCTCCAAGATCCATCCTTCTTCTTAACAAGGATTACCGGTGCTGCCCACGGACTGGCTGACTCTTGTACTACTCCCTTTTGCATCATTTCCTGCACTTGGTCGTTGATAATTTGTTTTTCTGACGGGGAAACACGATACGGTTTTTGGCGAATCGGAATTGCCGCGCCAGTGTTGATGGTATGGCGCGTTCGAGACAGGGGGATAGGGATTACTTTGCCCTTCTGCGCAAAGTCAAATACCGAAACGTGCTTCAACAGCACATTCATTAAAGTTCGGCGCTCGCTTGAGCTAAGTGACTTATTTATCGTTGCCATAAGCGCCCCGTCTAGATTGTGACAACCAGTTCCGTCACGTTCTTCCGGCACGTCTGTGAGCTCGACCACTGATAAGGTCGCGTGTTCTTTGCTGACCGAAGCTAATTTCAAACCATTGGGTAGGATCACGGGCTCAGAGGAACAGTTTACAGTCCATAGGCCAGTTCTTCCGCCATCAATCGACACCACACAATGGGGAACCAACACATTCTTCTTCACGCAGTTTATGTGCATTGGTTCTACGCTCGCATCGAAGCTGTCAGAATCAGCGCCGCGACAAACAACAGGAACTCGTACGGTAGACAACGCAGGTATGAACGTATCGCCACAGACACACAGCGTAGTTTGGTCATTCGCTGGAGTTTCCAGAAGTTCTGAAGGCATCTGGCCACTCACAAAGACTTTCCCCGTGCGACAGTCTACAGTGGCACCACATTCTCGCAAGAAGTCCATGCCGAGAATGACATCATGTGTCGACCGAGGAATAATCGCAAACTCTGTCGTTATCATAAGGCCTCCCAAAAATACCTCAGCACTACACACACCAATAGGGCGCAATGGCTCTCCACTCACTCCACAGAACGTCGAAGTTTCATCCCAGGTAAAAACAACTTTCCGCCCTAACACTTCTTTAAAAGAACCACTCATCACGGAAATCGTTGCACCTGTGTCCACCAAGGCCATCACAGGCACATGATCCACCAAAACACGCACTTTGTTTTTAAGCATTCACACAGGAGGTATTTCTCTCAGTAGCACATTTCCAGCGACCTCACCCCCATTGGCCGCGCTGGCTAGTTTTCTGGTGGCAAAGAGGGCGCTTTGCGACGCAGCGGTGAAGGAGAACGATGAGCACGAGGTCGCGGTGGGGGCGTTAAACTCCTGTCAGATGCCGGGGAGTGGTTGCGGAAGTTGCTGGGCCAATAGTTATCATAAGGTGGTATGTGGGCCGGCCGCCGCACACCATGAGGCTGTTCGAAGGGTCGGGAAAAGTCGGATGGTTGGTGATACCGAGGAGTCACCCGACGGTTGCGAAATCGCGATATGTGGCCTGGCACACCGCAGGAATAGCACATTGGCCGAGGTCGAAACATCAGTCGGTCGTCGATGAATAGAGCGTCATCTTTGCTCTTGTGTGACGGATGTACTGGTCGGGTGCGTCGTACCGAGACGTCGGTTGTCGAGGAGGCATGCGCTGAGAGCGTCGGTCGTACCACGACGCGGGAAATCTGGTTGTCATCCTTGACTGTGGGGCTGGGCTGTACTCCACAGTTGCCGCGCTCATCGTCGGTTGCCATGGGGTCAAAGGAGGCACATCCATAGCCTCACGTGGCAGACAAAACTCGCGATGGTTAGCTGTCGAACACGACATTTCTCGGTGGGACAGTTCCTCACGAACAATCTGTCGAATGGTAGAAAAAAGGTCGAGGCCAGAATTCATCTCCACACTGGCAACAGTTGTAACGTTAGCCAGCCGACCAAACTTCTGCGCGATTCGACGCATCTTGAGCGTTTCAAACGTTCGGCAATGCTGAATGACGTCGGACACAGAGTTGAGGCTTTCTTTTCCAATTAGAAAATTATACACGTCCTCAGCGATCTCTTTGAGCAGATGCCCAACTTTGTTCTCTTCCGACATGGTAGCGGAGACCACCTTGCACAGCCTTAACACTACTTCTATGTAAGTGGTGCATGTCTCACCTGGTAGCTGTGCCCGTTGCGACAGTGTTTGCTCAGCCGGCTTCTTTCTAGCAACCGAGTCGCCGAAACACACCCTGAGCTCTTCAACAAAAAGATCCCACGTCGTGAGTGCTTCCTCGTGGTTCTCGTACCATACCGGTGCGGTGTCGGTCAGGGAGAACACTACGTTGGCTAGCATAGCGGCTGCATCCCAACCGTTGGACTTGCCCACACGTTTGTACTTGGTGAGCCAGGCGTCGACATCTTCTTCGGCTTTTCCTCCGAAGGGCGGTGGAACTCGGTAGTACGGAAGCGGGCCAGATGGTGCCGTCCTGGAAATGCCTGCTTCTTCGGGCATGTCGAAGTCACTCACGGCAGATGGTGGGAGACCGGCAAGTCGACGGCTTCGTCGAAGCTGTGGCAGCGATCGTTCCGTAGTTGAAGCGCTTACCCAGCACCTCCACCACTCTTTTACGTTTGAAAGAGACTGGTAGACGTTAAAAGGGGCCGTTTATTAGGTCGTGAGGGGCAGCTCAGAAGCAGCCGACTGGTGAAAGATCCTTCTGATCCTCTTCTTCCTCTCTCGCTCTGGGCGACAAGTGCGTTCACTGTATACGCTTCTTTGTCTCCGTGCATGTACGCAACAATATGTTACATTAACTCCCATGCCCTTGGTGCATCGTTAATTTCGCCGCGGTGGTCTAGTGGCTAAGGTACTCGGCTGCTGACCCGCAGGTCGCGGGATCAAATCTCGGCTGCGGCGGCTGCATTTTCGATGGGGGCGAAAATACTGTAGGCCCGTGTGTTCAGATGTGGGTGCACTTTAGAGAACCCCAGGAGGTCGAATTTACCATCCCTCCACTATGGCGTCTCTCATAACCATATGGTGGTTTTAGGACGGTGGTTTTAGGATAACAATCAATGATCATTATTTATCATTAGATCTACTCATGGATGAAACGATAACCTACTCTTTCAAAATACATCTGAGTGGCAGTGGTGAAGTCATTCTTGAAACATTAGTTTTCTAGTCGAAATGCGGAAAAACAACTTTTCTAGCGCGTTGGTTTTACTACTTATGACCGATAATCGACCAACGCCTATAAAATCGGTTTCGCAAGAGTGAAGTCGTGCAATCGTTCCGCAATATGATGTGCGGTAAACTTGAAGAGTTTGTAATTGAGATGCAAATAGAAACCTACTAATAAATAAATGGCAGTGGCCTTATAAATCATACAAGCCCACAATTGCCTCAATCGCGTCTTAATGGAGCGCCCTCTCAGGCATACAAATTAAAAAAAATTCTAAAGCACAATACAAATAGAAAGCATTAAATTTTCGCAAGCTTTCGCAATTCGTGACGAGTGGAAAAGTTCAATATGGGCGATATTCTTTAGGTATATAACTCATTTGATATATATATCAATCAATGAAGGTCTGAGACTATTCTTTTTAACAATGTACCCTTTTTATACTTCTTTACTATAGAAGACAAGCAGCACAGCTCTTCCTACTAATTATGCTTAATACTTTTGTCCACGTCGTGTAGAAAGCCATTCTTCATTTGATTGTAAGGCATTTTCATTATATAGAGCAGGTCGTCCCCCGAGTGTACTTGTTTTGTTTTGTTTTACAGTGAAGCGGTGGTACGCACTCTCTCTAATCAATTACAATGTTTACAATCAATAATGACTGGTACATCAAATATGTCATACAATCAAATATATGATTACATCAAATAGGTCATACGATCAAATATGTGATTGAAATGAGACGCTTATAAAGAAAGTGCGACAGTGTGTAAATATTCACGGTCATTGATGTTTTATAACGAACGCCGATAAACTGGATCTCTCTGGTAAACTTTTATTCCTTCTGGACATCCACCTTCGACATGTTCTCGAATGAAGTGTTGTAGTAAAAATGAACTAAGCACTTGGTTCACATTTTTTACTGTTTTCATCGTCATTTGCCTCAACAGCCTGAACGAGAAGATGTGCTTCAGTTGCTATTAAATGCCGAAAAACAAGACATGATAAGCAAAGCAAAAGCCGAAGGCAAGTACTGCGAGATTTGCACAATCTACTATACGCGCTTACCTACCTGCTCCTGTTTCGTTTTGCCCCGCCGCGGCGGTCTAGTGGCTAAGGTACTCGGCTGCTGACCCGCAGGTCGCGGGTTCGAATCCCGGCTGCGGCGGCGGCTGCATTTCCGATGGAGGCGGAAATGTTGTAGGCCCGTGTGCTCAGATTTGGGTGCACGTTAAAGAACCCCAGGTGGTCGAAATTTCCGGATCCCTCCACTACGGCGTCTCTCATAATCATATGGTGGTTTTGGGACGTTAAACCCCACATATCAATCAATCCTGTTTCGTTGGAACTCGATTTCACTAAGGAACTGTCGAGGTCCAATTATTTCGCTCAATCAGTACCTTCGTGAAATCGAGAAGGAAATATTTTGGCCCTGTCAGACTTAAACGTGTAGACAAGTGAATTGCAGAATCTCTCAAATCAGTGGAAATACTTCTAACCCTTGACATTAAGGCGGAAAGTCCGCAGGGGTGGCCCGGAGATGAAGCCTTCCACGTCACCCGATCATGGGTTGATCAATGTGTGGGTGGGCACGCCGGTTAGTCGGTCACGTGGAGCTGCAAAAGGCTGCTGATATGGAAAGACACGGAAAACGAACGCAGCGATTCTGCGAGCAGGCCGCGAAAGGAACTTGCGAGGGGACGATCAGTGTCATCGGTCGCGGTAACCGTGAAATAACGGAAGGAACTTAAGAGACTGTTGAAGAGAGCCCATGTATTTTCGTTTATCTTAAGCGCCCTTTATTCTAGCAAAAGCAACCATAGCCGCCACAGGTCTATTTGCCGCATAGAAGACTGACTGCTGAGTCCGTTGTTCCCAGCAGAGGCGCTGCGTACAGGGTGGACAAGACGACGCCATGACCGTGCCTAGGCCGTCTCGATAATTTAACGCCATGTCGACAAAGAGCCCCCTCGAAGAAAGAACCGTCCCCGCAGGTCGCCGTACCGAATCCCGACCACGGTGGCCGCATTTCAATGGAAGCGAAAATGCTTGAGGCCCGTGTCCTTACATTTAGGTGCGCGTTAAGTAACCCCAGGTGGTCGAAATTTTCGGCGCTATCCACAACGGCGTTTATCATAGTCATACGGTGGTTTTGGGATGTTAAGGCCTAAAAATTATTAGCAGATTTACATAAAGAACCGTTCTCTGTCGGAATGATGTGGAAGTCATTATTTCAGGATAAATGTCGTTAAAGTTCGTTTGGGCCCAAGGAAGTATCGCTATAGTTTGTGCTGATACTAAAATTCGACCCTATGGGTACCAGTCGGGGAAAAGAAAGTTCTACGTCAGATTGAGAACTTCTAAAATTGGATTTCATTAGACCAATTTCCAGTGTACGAGGTTGAAGGAATGAGTTATTTGCCTTTCCATCATATACTATATCTACCGTTCATTCCTCAGGCCGGCAATTATCACGCACTTTGACGCAACACCCGCTTGAGCTCATAACGTCGTCCAACACCTGTATCTTCATTATTGCTGGGTAAGCATATTCCAGACAAATTATTCGCCAAGCAAAGTGGTAATTTGTTCTCTTGTGGTAAATACCGCAGCGCAAACTAAAATAGATGTATAGGAAGACAAACTGGCTGTTACACTGAGTTAAGCTTAATTAGATAGGAAAACATGGCCTCGTTATAGTTAACCTAACTGTGTGTGTGTTTGTGTGTTGTGTGTGTGTGTGTGTGTGTGTGTGTGTGTGTGTGTGTGTGTGTGTGTGTGTGTGTGTGTGTGTGTGTGTGTGTGCGTGTGTGTGCGCGCGTGTGTGTGTGTGTGTGTGTGTGTGTGTGTGTGTGTGTGTGTGTGTGTGTGTGTGTGTGTGTGTGTGTGTGTGCGCGTGTGTGTGTGTGTGTGGGTGTGTGTGTGTGAGAGAGAGAGAGAGAGAGACCTCGAACACAGAATTACTGCATGTGCTACCTTTAAGTATAATACAGTAGCGAGTAGGAACATCGAGCAACCACGGCTAGGCGGCGATGGCCTCACTCTGCTTTTGCAGGTGACATGCCTCACGTTTTGCCGACCGGCAATGAACTTTACTGACAATAACTATAACTTGTCCAGTTCGCTGCACTGGCGGCATCAGAAAACACAAAGTAGGACCCAAACTTGAACGTCTACTCAACGCATTCTGGCAAACGGCGTTTTGTAAATAGACGCGCAACTCCGCGACTTAAAAGTATGGTATACATGATACGGTTCAAGCTCACGAATAAACACAAAGAAAGAGAAGGCAAGCGCTTTCTAGCAACAAAACGATTTATTGGAAAGAAAAGAATATGGAAGCAGGCAATCAAAAACTAGTCCAACTTTCGGTTCTGTTTGATATACAGTAGCTGTATGTATTTGTAACCCGTTCCCATTCGCACGACAGTACGCGACGTTCTTCGCTATGCTAGCGCTCCTCAACCAGAACGGCTTGTACACTACTGCTAACAAATAGATAGGTGAAAAATATTCTCTCTGAGAATGGCGTGGACAAATCGGACCACTTGGTTGAAGTATTTATCTTCATTACACTGTTTTGATGACTCCCATTCTTGAAATGAATGTCCCGTTTTGGAGAATTGGCGCTTAGCTTAACGAGATGAGATAACTTAGCGCAATCTACGATAAATAGATTGCGCTACGTTAGCAGGAGAAAGCAAAACACGGCCTCCTTCTTGTTTTTATTTTGTCCTTTTTACGGTAATATTTTATCACTCCATACTTGTTTGAACCAATTTACGACTAATTATCTCCACAGTGCCTAGTACTGTGGTGTGAGGCACGTAGTTCAACAATTGTTTTGTGCAGTATTTTTTAATATACCTTTTCGCATTGTTTAGTCGTAAAGACGTTCGACTGATTCACACTCGGCTGATTTTTATTCCAAGAAGTAACGCCCGATGTTCACGATGGTAGTTCTGATGCCAAACTCCAAGGGCGACAGATTCATAGATTCATTTAGCACACTTTTCGCATGCGCCCACCATGGCTTGCAGAATCGACACCATAGCTTCATCGCTCGCCTTCGCAACGTACCTTCTGTCGGAGCACCAGGACGTACAAGACAAGGTTCGAGCCGAAGTCAAAGCCCAGCTCGAAAAAGAGGCAAGTGCATTCCACCAGTCATAATAGACTAATAATAATGCGACAGTAATAAGGAAACAGTGCGCCTTTGTTATACGGGTACAAAACCAGAGTCGGCGACAAGAACTAGAGCTTGGTCCTATTGATCCCTTCGGCCTTGTCCCCTTCTGAAAAATCGCGCTCTTTCCTTATTACTACACTTACTACAATTTAGTAAGCAGCTACAAACCAGCCCAAACCTTATAATAACAACACACTACATGTTGTTACTGTAGGCATCGTCATCGTTGTTGTTCCTGGTGTGTGTGGGGGGGGGTGTAGAAAACAGAGATATGGTGGTGGAGGAGTAAGGCAAGAAACGAAAGGCAGGGAGGTCAACAACGTGCGGGTGTGGTTTGCTAGCCTACACCAGGGTAAAGGGTGGATATTAAAGAACAAAACAAAGGGCAGGTAAGAGAGCACCATGAGGGTACACTTGCGCCTGTACATTGCACGTTTAGAAGCGGTCACTTAATCCGGCCGATTTAAAAGAAAAAAAAACCTAGCAATGCCCGCGTCGCTTTCTTGGCCTGCGGCACGTAGAACCGTGATCCGAGGATCTATTCTGAAAAAAGTCATCTATCAGCGTTTTGCGTAGCACGTTGCGTTTGCACAAAAGATTATCACGGGAACACAGAAGATGTTCTATTGTTTTGTAACTCTTGCATAAGTCACAGCTGGAGGTCTCTGCCATTTCCATGCGAAAAGACTACAACTTCGTGAAAGCTATTTCTGAACACAGGCGGCACAGTAAAGTAAGGTGGGGTTCCTGACACGGAGGACACTCGGCCAAGTTTCGAACACTGTCAGAAAATGCCTCCTCAATAATTGGCCGTTCTCTAAGACTCTGTCAATCAGAGGTTGTAATCAGCGTCACGACGAAGGGTGTATGCACAGCTAGTACATAAAATAAGTCTTTGAAGTTTTATCGAGGGGACATTAGGTTGTGTTCCAGTGGTTACCGGGACATTGTGGCACTGGTAGACCTTGCTGATGATTTGCCCGGTGCACCCACGAGAATGCCCAGACGACCCTAATAACCATGTCGAGAGAGACAGAACTTTATTTTGTGTTAAAAGAGGCTTGAGCCGAGACTTTGGTGGTGCAGTGGTGGAGGTGGCAGTATTGGTTGTGGTGGTGAGGGTTTTCCTCAATAACTGTAACTAACAGTGAAGGTGTTTAAGCTTGCAGTAATACCATGCGCGACCATCAAAAACTTGGTAAGTATGCGCTGCAGGAAGGAGTTGTGTGCCAAGCAGCACCTCGTGTAGCATAACCAAGCAAATGGTACAGCATAACTAGGGGGTGGTAAATGTAAGTAAAAGTGAGCAGAAGTAATCTGAAGATGAAAAAAGAATAAAAATAGGAGGGAAGAGAACAAATTATAGCATAGCATTGCATAGTATACTTGCCACGCCACAAACAGTATGTTCCGAGCAGCTCCTTAGTATAGCATAGCTTTGCATATAGTATAATATAGCTAGGGGTAAGAAAAGTGAATGATATTGAGGAGGTGAGAAAGGAGGCGAGAGAGAGAGAGAGAGAGAGTAAAGCACAGCATGAACCTGTATGGTTCAGCTTAGAAAGAACATTGGAGAGGGAAGAGAAGATGGGTAGGATTCGTGTTAAGGTGTGAGGAGGGTATGCGAAAAGAAAAACAACGGCACAGGATGGCAGTTTATAACATAAGCATAGTATAGATAGGGGTGAAAAAAAGAATTGACGATAAAGGGTAGTGATATAAGGGTTAGGAGTACAGTAAGTGAGAGAGAGGAAAATGTGCAAACAGAGAAGGAATAAAATGGGAAAGAACAAACTCAATCTGCCTTCACGAGTTGCCGTAGCTTGCTCTAAGGTTCCGCCGTTTACTCGATTTGCACAGGCGCGGAACCGGCTTGAATTTTTTATGAACTTTTCACTGTACGACTATGTAATTTTCTTCCTTAAGATAACTGTCTGGAGTTGCATGCCATGCCGATTGTAGAACTACACGAGCGAATAAGATGAACGCTGTACTAGTAACCATTTACTCTGTATAATGCTTATACTAATTGCGTGATTCTCCTGGGTTCATTGAAACTAATAATTTTATCCTCTCCACTCCTCTCATTACCTCTGTTTCTGGTGTAACCAGTAAGGTCACCTCGTTGTCCACCTGCTCTTAAGTCTTTCCTAACAGTGCACTCGTGACTTGTTACCGTCCACCGTGCAGGGCAAGCTCACGTACGACAACCTCAGTGAACTGACGTACTTGCACCAAGCACTGTTCGAATCATCTAGACTCTACCCTTCGCTTCCAGGGTAAGGTGCTATATCATATTTTTGTTGCTTTCAGTTGCGTGACCTTCGAGATGGTCCTATGCTCTGCATAAACATGAAATAGTGCAAATAAAAATGGTGCGCATCAGAGCATTTTTGATTAGAGACAAACGAATGAAATCTAAGGATGATAAAGCCATGGGTAGTATAGCAGACATTTTTTCGTAGTTTTTCTTTCTTATAATGATGATAATGATGAGAACTATTTTTCTGGAAATGTATACTGGGAGAGTGGAGAATGTTCCTTAAAGGGCCGCCCCCCACACGAACACTAGGTAGACTCTCCTTAACGAGTGCCCATTAGTGTCTACCGCTGCCCGGTAACTGTCAACCAGGGCCTGTTGGGCTGTCAGGTGAGAGCGGCCGAGCAGGGCTGGTTCCCAGTCCTCCCCGGAAGGGTGGCGTAGAGGGATGAGATTTGGGGATCGTATAGATGAGAAGCAGCTCTTTGACTAGCCTGTGTAACGCTGTCACTCTGCCCGCACCTCGCTCCCCTGGCCGCAGGTGTTGGGGCGGTGCCAGGTAGGTCACGCCTTCCCTCGCAGTGCGCGCGCGTCCACGTCACTCGCTCCCTAGCCTGTTACCACTCGTCGTGTGTAACACCCACAAAACTGTCCCGCCTCGCAAGGCCGTCTGCTAGTCAAAAGCCAACTGCTCGCTCTGCACAACCGTTCACTTGTGACTCCGCATACGTAAGCACTGGACCGCGCGTTCGGAATTCAGTCAAGGGCATCTTCACTTAGCTTTCGCTTGATGAGCACCGGCGTCAACGTCACCGCCAGTGTAAGTATTAGCACCCGCGGCTTCGCATCTACACATACTTCCCTTTAGCGGGACGGGGTCCAATTTATTGTTCATGCTAATCAATTTTTGGCTCACCAACACCATGGGGAAAATGCCATGGGAATTTCCCTCGCAGTGTGAGCACGTTCCCGTGCAAGTGGATTTGAAAGGTTAGGCGTAAAAGCACATACGCCCTTATGAGGCCATTACAGGGTTTCAGATAGATATGATCATTGGACAGGCAAGATTTTATGGTCTTATTAAAGGTGTAAGCGAGATTGGTTTCGGAGTCCGGATTGCTCCCGGATGAGGATGGTTACCGGAGATTGAGCGCACGGGCTGCGGAATCGGCCGCCTGATTACTATCGATGATCATGCCAGCCGCAGCCCATGGCATCGTTCGCGGCGCGGGATCACCATGGTAGTCGCTGTTTGGTAGAAGTTTGTAGGCCAGGAGCGGTATTGTTCTAATGGTATAATGAGGCCAAAGGAATTGAACATGACGAGTGTTAGAGCGTATAGCGTGTAACTCGAATGCTGTAGGTTCGGCCCGACCGAAGACACATTATTTTTCATCCAGTTTATTTCATTTGCATTCTTGATGTGATTGCTACATTGCAGTTAAAAAATGTGAAAGTGCATCCCAGGCCCTTCTTGGCATCATTAGTCTGTGCGTAGCAACAAAATGAGCCCTTAACGCACTCTTAATCATCTCTTCTGAAGTTTTTCATTATCTAGGATATCGTCTTGGCATAGCTGCGGACTTAGCGTATACGAGTGTTTGTTGAATCTGGTAAGAATTCTTACACGATCTCACTCCAGAAAAAAGGGGAAGTCAAGGTGTTTAAATATCACATGCTTATCAGCTTAGGGTCTGTGGTTAAACTTGTGTCTGTTGTTATTCACAAAGAACTAATGCAATTTGAACCGGCTTAGAATCCGATCAATGAAAGGACTAAGCAGAATTTTGTACAGGCTACTAGGCAATAGGCCGCATTCCTTTTATCACTAAACATGGTAGAGAGTTGCGCTATATGTAACAAACCACTACACACACGCATTTTCCCAACATCTAGGCCCACCTTCCTGATACGCGCTTCAGCCTAGTCATGTGTCATTTTTTTAGATCTTGCGAAGGCAGCGTGCACACGTCCACCTGTCCTTGCCTGTCCAGCGCAGTCACATAATCTTGCATATCAATTTCTTTTTGTGTGAGTGTGTGTGCTTGGAGTCGCCAGAACGCCATGCAAGCAGGTAATAAACGGCCTTGAAAAACACGACAACGACAACGGCATGCGTTCTACCTGAAAATCCTTAGGGGGTTTCTTTATAGCTTTTTGGCCACACCCACCATTTGGCCAGCATATTTAGGTTATCTTGGTTCCTTCGTATGGTTATGGCTAGTCGTCACGAAAAGGTCAAATCAACAATGGCCACATATATGAAAGTAACAGTTTCTTGTGGAGCCTTCGTGAACAGGGAAATCTGCGCAGTAGCCACATGCTTATTGAAGTTTCCAGACATTTAAGTTCTTCCCTAATGCTCTCTCGCTTTGCCATATGTAAGTTCTCTTAGTTAGTTTGACCCAGTATCGGATTCAGATCAGTTCATTGATTAAAAGCTATGTTCCCAGGTATGGTTACCTCCCTGAGACACATTTTCACGCCGCAAGGCTTTCATTTTCATGAAACAGAATGGACTTTGCTCGCAGAATCAGACACCTTTAACAAGGAGGGAGTATTCTTGAAAAAAAAAAAACGTCGCTTAGAATACCAGATGGACGCTCAAGTGAATGCGAAGGTGAAGTTAAACGACGGCTATGTGGTATTTGTTGCGTGGCAGGTGAGTGTGATGCGGGTTCTTGTTGCTGATTTGTTTTTCTCCCGGGCTGAGCCTCAGAGAGTTTTGTTAATAAGGACAAAGCCGTTCGGTTTCCAAGAAACACACAAAAAGTTTAATTGAAAAGTAAAAAGGCAAAGATTCCTCACAAAACAAAACACTTAATAAACAGTTGACTGGACATGACGAAACACATCTGTAAACACCCAACAAGAACGTTCAAAGTCAGTAACTAAACCTAACGTTCGAAAGGGGCTGAGTGATGGGAGTAGCGCAAGAGTATCGGTGCAGTCTCACCCACAAGTTGGTTTTCGGCGGTGATGAGAAACCGGAACGCCGTGACTCCTGCGTCAATGCGTGGGCTGGACGAGGACGAGGGAACGCTGGCTGCTGGCGACACGTCGAAAAGCTCTACCAAATCGTGATGGTTTCGGCTTGAGGAGCGTGGACACGTCGGAGACGGGAGAACGCAGGCTGGTGGCGACGCGTCCGGGAACTAGGGTCGACCTAGTCAAGCAGCTGGGCGCACAGCTCGGGCCCGGAGCCCGACGGCTGTAGCTCGCCTGCCGGAACCAAAGTCCGCAGGCCCTGGAAAGGAGTTCAGGACCGGATGGCCACGGTCCTTTGGAGCGGGAACCCGACAGCAGGAGGCCCCGGCCGGTGGAAGTCCTGTAGGCTCGGGTCCGGAACCCAACGGCCCATCTTCAGCGCCCGGTCCGGTGACGACCTTCCGCTTGCACTGCCTGCCTCGAATTCCCCTTGCTCTGGTCTGCTCCGGCTCCTGCTTCAGCTCTGGCCCACTTGTCTCGTTCTCATTGGAGATACTGCTGTTTCGTGGTGTCAAGCCATTGGGCCTTGAAATCTCCGTGTTCGCTGCCCATTGGATGTTTTACCTTTTGTTTACTTCACGTCCTGCCACGCATCCTCGTGCTTGACGCTCTTTAACGTCGTCATTCTTGTTTAAGCAGCACCGCACGTGCACTCTGGTATTTCTCCTTTTGTTTTTTTTTTTCCGTGACGCGCACTTTTCGAAGGCGCGCACTTTGAACGCGCACCACACATCACATACGCCCCCCTTTTATTCAAGTTTTTTTTTTTTAGAAAAAAAAAAAAACTGCCGATGAGTGCGCGTTCTGCACTACGTCACAATTAAACCACATATTTGCACCACGCAGTTCAACACATCACCGGGCTACAGTTCGCTACATCGTCCAAATGTCCACACTTAAACTTTAGATTCACCCAATTGCATTTAAAAGTTCTGAAACCCGGAATAAACCTTTTTACTACAAAATCGACTATGGACAAAGCTACTTGTGTCCGCATCTAAAAGTCGAAGTCCAGAAAGAGCTACCGGTTTTCTAACCCTACACTCAGGTTATCGCGTCCCAAACCAGACGCACTGCCCTTCTCGCACGTTTCGAAAGTAACTGTGGCAAACATGCTTTTATGCACTTTCGCTGAAACGCGTGTCTGCGCCCCCGCCGGCCACATGAACGCTTACCGGTCACAGAGGAACAGGGCGCGGTCTCGAGCCGTCGGCGTCGACACGAAACGCACTGAGACACGAATGTCCAAGTGCCACAATCTCTCACACAAATGCTTTCTTTTAATTCACCATCTAATGAACACAAGCTCGGGGTGCCCTCAGCAAGCCCAAACGCTCCGACAAGCGTGTGAGGTTCCTGGATTCTTGAGAAGGGATGCCGTTGTGCTCGGTCATTATACAGCTCATCTTGAGTGGACTTAATTATAGGTTCAAAACCAATCACGTTCTCAGGTTCAAGACCCTGTCTGGCATTCTCCATACCTACTATCGAGCCCACCTCCGATTCGATACTGTTTATTTTGAAGAGTGCTTCAGCACTCCCATCGTGTTTTCTCGGACAAATAGCAGTTACGCTATCCTGTGAACTAGAATCCCCTCTCTCTCTGAGTGAGATATACGTATGGTCTAGGACCATTGACGTGGTGCCTGCTGCTACCTCTGTCGGTACAAAACAATCAGTGGCCACTATATCAGAGCCTTCATGGCATTCGCTGCCATCTTCCCAATGACGTTCTAGCGCTCCTTCCATGGAGCTATTGAGAGGTAGCCCTACCCCTTCCCGAAATGTGCTCGGCCTTTGAGACGTTCTGATACACACCTCATTCTGAATGGAACTTCTTTGTTCCCTGCTATCGAAGCTTTGCTCCACCACATTTTCCACAGCTTCTAGGTCGCCCATATCCAGGCGCTCTTCTTCATAGGTGCTTGGCCTCTCAGAGGTCCCCAAGCAGCTAACGGAAGTAATATGTTCCCAGCCAGAGAAGCTTTCCGTCGCTTCAACAAACTCCTCATGACTCCTGCCTTCTTGGCTGTCCACCTCTCTGCCTTCCTCTATCTGAGCTTCTCGCTCCGAAGTAAGGCTGTCGCGAGGTTCGAGGCCAACCTTGCAGGAATCGACTTCCCTCCAGCAAACGCTGCTATCGGAGCAAACATTCACCGCTTGCTCGACCTTCTGCATCGCCAGCTGCCCCCTTTTCGCCATCGCAAGCTCGAGTCGCCGCTCGAAGTCCACCCTCTCTAATTGGAGCTGCTGCTTCAGTATGCGTGTCTGACGCTCTAGCAACACTTTATTTTCACGCGTTACGCGCTCTAGCTCCTCCTTCTTAGCTCTAAGCACCAATTCAAGCTTTTCCTTCGCCGCCTTTCGTTCTGCAGCCCGTTGCTCACGCTCCCTCTCCATCCGCTCCTCGTACCATACTCTAAACTCCGCTCCCGTCAGTCCCATTTTATCCGCCAACTCAATTAACTCCCACGTGTTCGTCATCGTGTTAACCGCGTCAAAAAAAATCTACTGGAAAAACAAACGACTTTGTCCTGTCGCGGACGCCAATTTGTGATGCGGGTTCTTGTTGCTGATTTGTTTTTCTCCCGGGCTGAGCCTCAGAGAGTTTTGTTAATAAGGACAAAGCCGTTCGGTTTCCAAGAAACACACAAAAAGTTTAATTGAAAAGTAAAAAGGCAAAGATTCCTCACAAAACAAAACACTTAATAAACAGTTGACTGGACATGACGAAACACATCTGTAAACACCCAACAAGAACGTTCAAAGTCAGTAACTAAACCTAACGTTCGAAAGGGGCTGAGTGATGGGAGTAGCGCAAGAGTATCGGTGCAGTCTCACCCACAAGTTGGTTTTCGGCGGTGATGAGAAACCGGAACGCCGTGACTCCTGCGTCAATGCGTGGGCTGGACGAGGACGAGGGAACGCTGGCTGCTGGCGACACGTCGAAAAGCTCTACCAAATCGTGATGGTTTCGGCTTGAGGAGCGTGGACACGTCGGAGACGGGAGAACGCAGGCTGGTGGCGACGCGTCCGGGAACTAGGGTCGACCTAGTCAAGCAGCTGGGCGCACAGCTCGGGCCCGGAGCCCGACGGCTGTAGCTCGCCTGCCGGAACCAAAGTCCGCAGGCCCTGGAAAGGAGTTCAGGACCGGATGGCCACGGTCCTTTGGAGCGGGAACCCGACAGCAGGAGGCCCCGGCCGGTGGAAGTCCTGTAGGCTCGGGTCCGGAACCCAACGGCCCATCTTCAGCGCCCGGTCCGGTGACGACCTTCCGCTTGCACTGCCTGCCTCGAATTCCCCTTGCTCTGGTCTGCTCCGGCTCCTGCTTCAGCTCTGGCCCACTTGTCTCGTTCTCATTGGAGATACTGCTGTTTCGTGGTGTCAAGCCATTGGGCCTTGAAATCTCCGTGTTCGCTGCCCATTGGATGTTTTACCTTTTGTTTACTTCACGTCCTGCCACGCATCCTCGTGCTTGACGCTCTTTAACGTCGTCATTCTTGTTTAAGCAGCACCGCACGTGCACTCTGGTATTTCTCCTTTTGTTTTTTTTTTTTCCGTGACGCGCACTTTTCGAAGGCGCGCACTTTGAACGCGCACCACACATCACAGTGAGCCAATAACGAATTTTTTTCGGAAATGCGGCTATGTCAAATGGTCAAGCAGCGAGCAACAAGCAGTCTTTATTTATTTTAGGTGTGTTTAGAATAAAGTGTTGAACGATTTAGAGTACATCGTATTCTGCTATGAGAGAGCAAGTAATGACAACATGAAAGCTTGCTAAGTTGTCGATATTTATGAATACACTATTGCTTCCTGTTAATTTTGTATCTTTTGTCTCATTTATTCTGCTTACTGGTTCAAGTTCCCGCCCGGGTAGTTTTAAGTGTTGATGTTGCGGTTCCCGCTAAACACTCCGTTCAAACGTAACATGGTATTCTTCTTTTTCTATTGCTAAAGGGCCTGGAGCTCACAGTCATAATAAAGCGCAAAAACTGAATGAATGCCGCTCCTTTTATTTACTTTCTACGTAGGTCACACTAGTCACCCGGTTAAAAACAATAAATAGTTCCCTGTGTTTTCTTCGGCTTATTTTCGTCTGTTGGTTTCCCTAGTTCAGCTTATTGTAACGGAGTCGGGACGTTGACGAAGGCAACAGTCCGTGTTTCGAAAACTGAAAGGTGCCGTCCGCAAGCAATATTAGACACAGAAACATATGTAAGTGCAATAATAAAGCAAGAAAGTACAATAAGCAATAAATACAACAAATAAAGTTCATTAATCGGGTCATTACTCAGCACCTCCACCATATGTCGCGGGTTCTCGATATTGTCGAAGGCGGCAGTCGGTGTTTCTTTGACTGCACTTTTTGGGTGAAACTGTGCTCGCAAAAAGAATCGTCACTACACAAGGAATACACGCCGTGTATTGATGGCGGCTAACAGATTGTCTGCCGTCGACAATCTGATTCGCGGCAAGCAGTGTAGGCATTTTAAATGCAGCATCACACATGCAAAGTATCTGGGCTGACCACGTTAGTTCAAGATTGATTGATTGATTGATTGATTGGCTGATTTATTGATTGTTTGTTTAGTTGATTGGTTGATTGATTGATTGATTTCAATACTTTATTCAAGAAAAAATATGAAAGTCAAGGGCCTTGAACGGCAAGGGTAGGTTCTCAGTCGAGGATTCCAGTACAAACTCAGCCATTCACGTTTGCGCGCTTGAGTCCAACAGCTGGTGATGAAACATTGTAGAGTGCTCCTAGATAATCTCGCACGGGTTACGCATCACAGCATCTGCCCGTGCAATATACCAGCAACAAACGCAGAAATGAGCGTGCGTGTTATTACATTTTGTGGCCGTAACCACCTTTGTAGCCAGCGGTTTTATTTAACATGCTATTCAACCTGTCATGTACATCCGTGACAATGATTGTGCCCTTGCAGCTCAGTGCGCAGGATATGTGACCAGGACTACGAGTACAACGGCATCCGTATCCTCAAAGGCATGAACGTCTCTGTTCCCACACTCGACCTACACTACGACCCCACACTGTGGCCAGAACCCGAAAAGTTTGACCCTGAACGGTAACGAAGCAAAACGTTTTTCAAGTTCAAGATTAGAGTGAGCACCTGTATAAGGCCTAAATAAAAGGCCACTGCCGATAAATATTATCTTTCCCTCTCTAAGCGCTATGAACAATACCGATGATATGAGAATGCATGCATCAAGAAGGCTGGCTCTGTCACCTAGATTTTATTGAAATTTGTGTGCTACATGCGCGGACTAGATGTGAGAACAGAACGCTTGAAAGAACGAAAACAAAATACTGAAAGAAAATGACTATCTTTTCTGCTATGCCCATTAGGTCATCACAGGAGACATAGAATGCATAAAAATTGTCGTTTGACGCGTCCACAATCTGATCGTCGGCAATTTTCTTGGTGTAGGCTCAAAACACAGCCGCACTTTATTTCCCCCCTCTAATGCAAGCTTTTTGAAATGAAACTTCAAATATCTTTAACGTGAATCACTAGGTGATGCCAATGACGCAGTAGATGATTGCCGTACTAAAGTCGGATCTTGCGTTGTAAATGTTGACATAATTTCCAATGCAACCCGACTTCTGTTTCACCCTCCCGCATGCGAAATCGCAAACTATTGTATGGCAATTAGTAATATTGGTATTTAACTTGCAATATTGTACATACGTATATTTGTAGCGTCATGCACTATTTTGAAGGACCTCCGGTATCTGTTGATTGAATGTAATTGACATTCTCTGGGTCAAATAGACGTTTTCTTATCAATGCGAGCATAGATTCCTAGTGCCTCATGAACATCTCTCTTCTGTGTTACATCATTTCGTCAAGCATGAACCCCAGTTTTGATACCCTTCAGTAGTTAGCATGAAAGCAGCCGGGCTTATATATACCGCCACTTTCGCAAGGTAAATAAATACATGGTCATCGCTAACAAATATAAAGCCATTACGGGGTTGGCTTCGGCAGGGATGTCAAGTCGGTGCTTATCACTGACAATCCCCCCAAAACAGTCTGAAACAGGGAGAAAAACCTCACAACTGAGACAATCAAGAAAATTTTGGAGGACTCCATCGTGCGCTCATATCTCGCAAATTAAATGTTGATTGATTGATTGAGACCGCTAGGGGGCCACGGAGTGCGGACGTGTTGCGCGTCGGCTCCGCAACTTTCCTATGTTTTTGGTGGATTGTCGAATTTATCGTGGAAAACGCTTCTCACCATCGATCGGCGGCAGTTTCAAGGACTTCCCTGACACCAAGTTTTGCCAGGTGGGACCACTTTTTAGCCACTTATTGGCGCCTTTTATTCCACCACGAAAGCAAGAACGCCAAGTCCAGCGTCTCTGCGCACGACGCCATAGGCCGGCCGCTGCGGCGGTGGGGCCTGCAAGCCTAACGTGTCGCCGGACCTCCTCGGAGCTCCCGATCCCCGACGGCAGCGTACAAGGCCTTTGCCAGGGCTAAATGGATGTCGTAGAGGTAGAAGGAGAGGACATTCGGCCGGAAGATTTCGGCGAGGGAGCAGGATGGTGCAGCGTAAAGAGAACGAAACAGGCCGACGGCGCGTCCGAGTCAGCGCAAGACCAGAAGACGGAGACGCAGCAACAGGCGGCTGCCGCGGAGACTACAGGGATTGCCCCGGATACTGCCACAGCGGCGCAGAATAAAAAGAAGTGTGCTCGTTACTTGCAGCGCGTCGCTAAGGCGAGCCGAATGCCAGAGCTACCGCCCGATGACTACAGGATCATTGTGCGCCCCCGCGGCGGATTCAACGGGGCTGAATACAAGATAGATCGCATTTACTGCTGCCTTCGTAACGCGGCAGGTATCGGTAGAGAAGCGGCTAGAGAGGACAGCATCTGCCTCAACGTTAAACAGAACGTCGTGGTGCTCAGCACTCCGTCTGCGGACAGAGCCAAACGCTACGGAGCCATCAGCAAGCTTTGCATCGGGAACCGAGAGTTCGAGGCGAACGCCTATCAGGCCGCCCCGGAAAACACTTCCAAGGGCCTGATTAGGAACATTTCCAAAGACGAGAGCCCGGAGGACATCGTTAACAACCTAGTGACGCAGCGCAACCCCGGCGTGCTGCATGCCAAGCGAATGGGCACCACGGACATCATCGTATTGTTCGATGGTTTCCATGTTCCCAGACACGTATACTATGGACCTATGCTTGTGAGATGCTCCCTCTACAGAAAGCACATTGACGTGTGCTACGCGTGCGGGAGGCTGGGCCATCGCTCCGACGTGTGTCCCAACCCTGCCGACAAGATTTGCCGTGGCTGCGGAAGCAGTAACCCACCGTCTGACCATCGCTGCGAGCCGCGGTGTCAACTGTGTGGCAAGGATCATCTCACGGGTGACCACGTCTGCAAGGCGAGATACAAGACTCCTTACATAGTCTACATAGTCAAGCGTCGCCGCCTAGAGCGAAAGCGGCGTGAAGAAGAGCAAGCGGCCGCAGCGTCCGACAGCATCTACAACAGCGGCATTAGCACCGAAGGCAACGGAGGTTACTACAATCATTATCCGGCGTTTCACAGTCATTCATCCAACGCCACCCGAAGAGGACGCTCGACAAGCCGAGACGCGAGAGGCGGCGGCGGTAAATCCCGGTCCCGCTCTCGCAGCCGGACACCAAGGCCGAGAAGCATGTCGAAGACGCGCGGTGGCGCCGTTCCGGGCGCCGCAGTTGTCAACCAAGGCACCCAACAAAGTCAGCAGCATCAGACGTGGCGGCAGCAGCAACAACAAGGACCCATGGGCACATGGCAGCAGGTGAGATGGGCGGATGTAGCCGCCTTTCGCGCCGGCGGCGTTGTTTCGGCGGGACGTCCTGGCGGTCCCGCCGTCGGTGGCGGCGGTGGGAGCGAGCTCAAGCTAGCGGTAGAGCGAGCGCTAGAACAACGCCTAGGACCATTACAATCGATAATTTCAGAGCTGAAACGCGAGAACGCCGCCCTTAGAGCGGAAAATTCCAAATTGAAAGGAGAGGCTCCACGAATGCAACAACCGCAGCAACAGTCGACGGCGCCGCCACCACCGACGCCTCGGTCTTCGACTCCGTCGAGACCCGAGGCGGCGGGGATGGGCACGGATGACGAGAGCAGTTCGGGAGAGGGGGCAGGCGGACGCGAAGACCGCCCGTGTATCGCGAAAAGGATAGCACTAGATCCTGCCAGGCACGAATCCACACAGCGATTTGGCCGTTATGATAAGCTACAGAAACAAATCGATACTATCGAGACCAGCCTCGATGAACGTTTTGCTAAACAGGTGGCACAGATGAATGACATGTTCAATAGTGCGATAGCTAAGCTCTCTGAACAAATGACACAAATGCTCACCGCGCACACGGCGCGCATAGAAAACATTGAAGCGCGACTCCCGACATCTGCGGGCAGACCGATTAGAACGGTGAGTAAGCCCTACGCTAGACAGCAACAGAGTCAGCAGCAGCAGAACGCGCTGCCAGACGCCGAGCCGCAGATTCAGCCGCACCCCAGTCGCCTCGACGGCGATGGGCTAAATTAAACACAAGCATCACCATGGCTAGACACGCGCACACTCACACTAACACTCACAAACAACAGTACACGATCTGGCAGTGGAACTGCCGGGGATATAGGAGGAAGCGGGGAAATCTCGAGCAATTTATTCGAAGCCGTGAGACGAAACCGGACATTATCCTTTTGCAGGAAACAAATTATCCGGCAAAACTAGCTGGTTACAAAGCCATAAATGCGGCCGCGGCGGACAACAGGCGGAAAGAAAAACGTGCTACACAGCGCTCGGCGCGTGGTGGGGCGCCGGGGGCGGCCGCGGGTCGCCGAGGGCGGGGCGATCCGCTCTCGTCGTCGGCGCGACCGCGGTCGCTGCCGTCGCCCCCGCCGCGTCCGGCGCCGGTCGCCGCCGTGCTAGTTAGACGTAACATCACGGTGGCGCAGCGCGAACTTGAGTGCGTAAGGATACCGCATGTTTTTGTAGAATTAATTCCTAAGCGCGGCCGAGGCCTGTTTGTACTTAACGTCTACAGTAAACCCACGCTACAGCACCGATTTGGGGAGATGCTCCGGAGAGCAAGCACGGCCGCCAACTGCGCACCTCTGCTAATTGCGGGTGATTTTAATGCGCCCCATGGGGCCTGGGGATACACGCGTGAAACGCTCAAGGGCAAACACCTTTGGGAAGACTCGCAAGACCAACGGCTTGAACTGATCGCGAACCCCGCCGATCCGACGCGCCGGGGTAACAGCGTGAGCGCAGACACGCTACCGGACCTCGCGTTCGTGTCGAATGTCACAGCGGCGTCTTGGCAAAACACGCAGGAGGACTTAGGGAGTGACCACTCTCTGATAGAGATTACGGTAGACACGGGCCCGAGCGTTCGTAGAACATACTCTGAAAGCACAGGCCGTAAACTCAAATTAGTGCAGTGGGACGCGTTCCGCAAAAAGAGAGCAGAAGGCGGGTGGGGCGACGAGCCGATCACGGATATAGACGAGTGGACCGCGACGCTCAATCGGGACGTAGACGCGGTAACGTGCCACATCCCGCCCGAAGCGAAGCTCGAAGTAATCGACAGCAGGCTCCTACACATGTGGGAAGCAAAGCAAGCCCTACTCAAGAGGTGGAAACGCCAGACATAACCGGGCGTTGAGGAAACGCATAGCACGGTTAGACAGAGAAATTGAGGAACATGCGTTCCAAGTCTGTAGGTCACAATGGGAAGACCTGTGCAACGGCCTCGAGCGACAGATGCGCAGGGCGAGTGCTTGGCGCCTTTTCCGGCACCTATTGGATCCGGAAGATACCCGTGCCGCACAAGGCCATAAAACTCGGAGACTTGTGAACGATCATAAAGGCGATGACCTGCTCGGTGCAATACGTGACCGTTACTTTAAGTCGGCAGAGAGCGTCCAACACCCAGATTATGACGGCGTTGCTAATGAGCAACTAGACGCCGAATTTAGCGAAGCGGAAATTCGGGCAGTCCTTTTTGAACTAAACACCCGATCGGCGCCCGGCCTGGACCGGGTTTCGAACAAGGCTCTCCGCAATTTAGATGACGAGTCAATCTCCCGATTTGTGACTTATATCAACGAGTGCTGGCAACGCGGTTCCCTTCCTGAAGCGTGGAAAAGAGCTCGAGTTATCATGATTCCTAAACCGGGCAAGCAGGTTGCGCTTGATAATCTAAGGCCAATTTCGCTCACGTCTTGTGTAGGAAAAGTTCTGGAGCACGCAGTCCTCAAACGCGTGACTGACTTTCTCGAAGTCCGCGATGTATTTCCGCACACCATGCTAGGATTCCGCCGCAATCTCTCCGCACAAGACGCGTTGCTTCAGCTGAAGCACCACATTGTTGATGACATTACCAGCTCAACCAAGGCGATCCTTGGCCTAGATATTAAAAAGGCCTTCGACAGCGTTAAACACGAAGCAATTTTAAACAGAGTTTAAACATTAGGACTAGGACAAAAAACATATAATTACATACGTGACTTCCTTGCCGGCAGACGCGTACGCGTCGTCGTTGGAGATGTGGAACTGCAAGAATTTGAGATGGGCTCGAGGGGCACGCCACAAGGCTCCGTAATTTCGCCATTACTCTTTAATTTAGTTCTATTGGGGCTACCCGAGAAATTATTAGGCATACAAGGATTGTATCACAGTATCTACGCGGATGACATCACCCTCTGGGTTCCCGGCGGAGGTTGTGATGGTCACGTCGAGCGTACGCTCCAGGCAGGTGTAGACGAAGTTCAGGAGTACTTGCGAGGAACGGGCCTCGAATGCTCGGCAACCAAGTCGGAACTTCTAATCTACAAACCTACAAGTAGAGGTCGCAAAACCCCGCGCGACGAGGAAAGGGAGTGCTACAAAATAAGCGTTCTATTGGCAGATGGCACTCCCATTCCACACGTAGACAAAATTAGAATTCTGGGGTTACACCTGCAGGCAAACGGCCATAATGGTGAGACGGTGCGAAGACTACGTCGTTCGGTAGACGACACGATCCGACTCCTACGTCGTATCACGAACAGACGTACTGGTATGCGCGAACACTGCGCGATCCGTCTAGTGCAGGCGTACGCAATAAGCCGTATAACATACGTTGCCCCCTACCTCAAATTGCTAGGCTCAGAAAAAAACAAAATCGAATGTATAATACGAAAGCCTTTCAAGAGAGCAATTGGAGTTCCACTGAACGCGAGCACTGAAAAGTTACTAGAACTTGGACTGCACAACTCACTCGACGAGTTAATTGAGGCCCATGTCGTTTCGCAAAACGAACGCTTGTCGGGGTCTAAGACGGGTCGACACATCCTCGAGTCACTTGGCATCCGGTACCACACTCAGCAGGGAGAAAAAGCGGATGTTCCTGCCTCGGTTCGCGACCGCCTAATTGTTCCGCCGCTTCCTAAGAATATGCACCCGACGCACCACGTCGGGTGCCGTAACCAGCGAGCTAGTGACCTTCAAAAGAAGTACGGCACTAGCGACGAAGTTGTGTACGTAGATGCCGCGAGATATGGGGACGGGAGACACGCACACGCCGCTGCGGTCGTTGACCGTGCGGGCAAATGCCTCGCGAGCGCCACGGTGACCACGGGACATACGGAGGCGGCCGAAGAAGCCGCGATAGCCCTAGCAATCGCCACGGTGCCGAACGCTACGATCGTAATCAGCGACTCGCAGGCAGCAATCCGCGGCTTCGCGCGCGGCCGCGTCTCGCGGGAAGCGGCCCGCATCCTTAAGATGTGCGGTGATGGTGACTCAGCGTCGCGATCGCCACAACAAAATTTAACAGTCTTCCTCCTTTGGACCCCGGCACACACCGATGTCCCGCTTCCGGGCAACGAGGCGGCCCACGCCGCGGCTCGAGGTCTCACTCGCCGAGCCGCGGCACATTCCGTGGCCGCCGCCTCCGCTCCCGAGAACGGGGCTTCTGATCTGCCGGATCGAGACACTTTGACAGACACGCAGCGACAACACAGACCACAATGGTCGTGGGGCGATCGTCTCATCACGTTCCGAGATATTACGCAACACTACAGACTGGAAAGGCGAAAGTTCCCGCCACCGCATGACAAATTAAACAGACACGATGCCGTAAGCTATCGCTTACTACAAACCCACTCTTACCCCAGCCCGGTCGTCTTACGCCACTGCTACCCGCACTTACACATTACCGATTTATGTAAAGCATGCGGGCACAGAGCAACGCTGCGCCACATGCTCTGGGAATGCGCCGATAACAATGGTCGAGCAACGGCCGCCGTTCGCGATGCGCCTATGGCGGCTGCCAATACCAGGCAACAGGAAGCCTCGAGCTCACTCGTTCCCGCCGCCGTCCCGTCTGCGGGAGCCACGGGGGACCTTCTCCGTCGGTGACGCCGCCGCTGGGAGGCGGCGCTCAGAAGCTCGGAGCTCAACGACCAGCTCTGGGCTGTCCGGCAGGCCGAAGATGCCGCCCGAGTTCAGGGACTCAGCGCCGCCATCTGAGGCCACCAAGACCAAGCTGCCGGCCAAATTCTAATAAAGTTTCCTCTCTCTCTCTCTTGATTGATTGATATTTGGGGTTTAACGTCCCAAAACCACTATATGATTATGAGAGACGCCGTAGTGGAGGGCTCCGGAAATTTAGACCACCTGGGGTTCTTTAACGTGCACCCAAATCTGAGCACACGGGCCTACAACATTTCCGCCTCCATCGGAAATGCAGCCGCCGCAGCCGGGATTCGAACCCGCGCCCTGCGGGTCAGCAGCCGAGTACCTTAGCCACTAGACCACCGCGGCGGGGCCAAATTAAATGTTGGTAATAAGCGTTTCATTATTAAAATCTGGGGTTTTACGTGCCAAGTCTACGATATCATTATCAGAGATCAGTCAAAATTATCGCAAGTTAGTGTTATCGAGTCTTGACTGGGTTCCGGAGCCGTCGAGGAGGACGCCGGAAATTTCGACCATCTGGTTTTTTGTTAACGTGCACTGACATTTAACAGTAGACAAGCCTCTGGCATTATACGGCTCCACCAGAATGTGACCTCTGCAGTAAGGATTGAACACGCGACCTTCGGGGTCCGCAACTGAGCACCGTAACCACTGCTCTACCGCGGTTGACATATTTCCTGTTCTCACCAAGCCGATTATTCTTCTGAACGTGCTATGAGATAATCAGTCCATAAGGACAGCATCAGCTTTGCCTTTGACAAAATGCCAGAATCGACACGCTTTGACATAAGTATTCAAAAGCACAACGTTCATTTGGTACTGTCCTAGGAGATCTTTGAACAAATTTTGGGGTGGCAAATAGTAGTAAACAAGGAAAACGCTCACGCGCATTGACAATCTCTAGAATTGTAGATCGTATTTCAGGTCTTGTAGTGCGAACTTTTTATGTCAATTAGCTATGCTATGCTAATATGTTTACCCTCGGCTTTGTTCCATGGTGCAGATTCAGCAAGGCCAACAAGGCTAACATACATCCCATGTCGTACCTCCCTTACGGATTCGGACCGCGGAAGTGCATAGCGTCTGCACTCTCGCAAGTGGTGATCGCTCTCACAGTGGCCCTTCTCGTCACGAAGTACAGGTTACTGCCAAGCGGCAAGTACAAAGACGTGAGTACCAATCGTGAAGTTACAAACTTTCTCACGGGACAGGAAAAACACCGTCATGCTGGGCTCGGTGCGGCTGAACGAAGGCTGAAATCACAGCCTCAATAGAGCTTTTTCGGGGCGGACGGTGGGGGACAAGGCTTGTTTCTTGCAGCCCGGCGAGGATTATGGCTGCTCCTAGAGAACCTTCTGTAAAAAGGTCTACACAATTCTGCGGCTTACTGTCACTCTGTTGCATGCGTTCATAAGACTTTAGATTTACATGTACAAGGGAGCCTTTACTTTAGATAGCGGTGATGCTCTGGCAGTGTTTGCAAAATGTGGCATAGCTCTTCGAATCTCTACATGGTCTTTCAGCCTTTATATATTATGACAGTACATAGCAGTGTTCTTTATAGCCACGGGGCATGGCGGACTCACTCGGTTAGTGCAGTGATATTGTTTAACATGTCTCAGCTCGCAACTTCGTGTTCGTGCGCCTCAAACCAGACACGAGGAGGTTTGTCGTGGTGGAAAAAGACATTTACCAGCATGATACTTAGGTCCCAGCCATATTGCTTGCTTACGCACTCTCACAAGGCATATCTGAAGCTCACCTTTGGTCGCTGCTGAATTCACAAGTCGGAGTTTTCACTCTGGACGACGTTGTTTCTACGCAGCACGCACCACTGAAAACAAATTGTGGCAGCTGTCAAATTTTAAACATGATCGCTGTTGACATTTCATATGAACATGTTGAAGTCTTTCAGAATGTCTTCGAGAAATGCAAGGACATTTTCGATGTTGGTGATTGACCTTTAGGCCAGACGATCGTCGTCTAGCATCGCATACACACTGGCGATGCCAACCCTGTTCACCACCGCCCCTACAGGGTATCTGCATCTGATCGGGGCGTCGTTCAACAGGAAGTTAACAAGATGCTCGCGAACGACATTTACTAGGACATTTTCAATTTTGGTGTACAACCTTTTGCCCAAGCTTCCGTCGTCAGCATCGCATACACACTTGTGATGTCAACCCTCTACACCGCCGACCCTACAGAGTGTCTGCCTTTGATCGGGGCATCATTCAACCGGAAGCAAGCAACATGCTCGTGAAGGACATTCACTAATCTCTGGGCCTTTCTGGTAGTTTAAGTTAAAAATAAGGACATATTGTAACGCTTTTCTTCGACTATCTCTACCCCAATAACGTCACAAGGAAATACGCCTACCTTCTACCGTGAATGGAGGACGCCCTTGAGTATCTGCATGATTCCGCGTACTTCTCTATTTCGACCTTCGTCGCATATTAGCAGATTACTGTGGACCCCATGGACCCAGAGAAGACGGCCTATGTAATAGCTCATATCCTCTACCACTTCAAGGTCATGTCTTTTGGCCTCTGTAATGTTATAGCCACTTTCTAACAAAGATGAGCTCTCTGCTTCACGAATTCAAGTCGTCGACGTGTCTATGTTAATTATGCGACGTCATTGTATTTTCGCCCACCTTCGAAACTCACCTTCAGAATTCTTCAGCTGAATTCGTCCAAATGGCGCTTCAGGTGCCGCCACAATACGATGCTTGGGCATGCTTCTGGCATACTACCAGATACAGAAAATCGAGCCATGAAGGACTGCCCTGCGCCGACAACCACCAAGGACGTATGTAGCTTTGTGGGGCTGTGCTCTTACTTTCTGTGGATTATCAAAGACTTCACCGAAATTTCTACACCTCTCATGGACCTTCTTAAACAAGACACCATCATCAACTGGGGTCCTTCTCAACCAACAGCATTCTCCGAGCTCGTCACTCTGCTTGCGCCTTCCCCTGTCCTAGCCCATTTCGACCCTTCATCACCAGCAGTAGTTCGCACTGACTCCATTGGTCAAATAATCAGTGCTGTGCTGTCACCGCGACAATGGGAGCAGAATCACTTGATCGCTTTGCCAATACGTCCTCCTCGAAGCGCAATTATTCAATCACGGAGCGTGAATGCCGCAATATGGTATGGGCAGTTGTGAAATTTCTCTCTTACTTATAGGCCAATCTTTTACTGTGCTCGCCGACCATCATCCTCTTAGTTGGCTCGCCTCTTTCAACGATCTTACAGACTGTCTCGCTCGCTGTGCACACCACCTGCAAGAGCACTCTACACCGTTGTCTACAAGAGTGGAAGCCTGTACCAAGATGCGGATGGCTTATCACGCTACCCTGTGGCTGACGTCGACTCTATGAATGCTTACTCTATTGACTGCATTTTTTTTTCCTTCCCAGGTACTTCGACTCGGTGACTAGCAGCGTCAAGATCCGCACCTAAGTCAAATAACGCAACGAAATACAATCCTCCACGCACGACACCTTTGTACGCTTGTTTGCCTTAAACGATAACATCTTATATCGGCGCGACTTCTCATCCACCAATGCGGATCTGCTGCTGGTCGTGCGTCCTCCGCGAGCTTCATGACGCACGAGCCGCTGGTCACCTTGTAACTTCTCACGCGTATGACCATGCGCTACGCGGCTTCTACTGGCTTGAATCTGTACGCTCGTGCGACGTTATGTCAACGCCTTCAACCCATCTAAATTTCACCGGAGCCTTTCTTTCAAGTTGGTTTGGATCTGTTCGGTAAATTTCCAAAATGTACTTCAGGAAACAAGTGGGTCGCCGTTGCTACCAGTTACACGACCCGCTACGCAAGCACCCAAGCCCTGCCAAGCAGTTGCACTATGGACGTCACCAATATTTCACTTTGAGACCTTATTTTAGTGCACGGTTCCCCACGCCAAGTGCTGACAGACCGACGCCGTACCTTCCTTGCTCAAGTTATTCACAAAAGCCTGCGTTCCTAGAGGAACGACCATAGAGGTACGGACGAAACTTCATAACCGCCCATACGACAGCAAGACACTCTTTTTCCGTTGTGGAGTAGTTGGACTCGGCGCGGGAAAGCGTCCTACTAGCATATGCGATCACACGCTCGGCTGAGTCTTGCCACTGGACGAGTACAGCGCCTAAACCCACGTTGCTGGCATCTGTGTGGACCATGGTAGGAGCATCCTCATCAAAGTGAGCAAGCACAGGCGGAGTCTGCAGGCGTTGTCGGAGATCGTCAAATGCCACCTGTTGATCGTCGCCCCATGTGAACGAAACGTCTTCTCTTGTGAGTCGTGTTAACGGCGAGGCTATGTGGGAGAAATTGGCAATAAACCTTCGGTAGTATGCGCATAGGCCAAGGAAACGCCTGACTGCTTTCTTGTCTTTTGGTACCGGAAATTTTCTGATGGCCGCAATCTTATCGGGATCAGGTCGAACACCTTCATGGCTCACCACATGGCCTAAAAATTGAAGCTCCTTGAAACCGAAATGACACTTCTCGGGTTTCAGTGTCAGGCCGGCAGACCTTATTGCCCTGAATACCGATAGCAGCCTGCTCAGGTGTTCCTCAAATGTTTTTGAAAAAACAATGACGTCGTCCAGATAGACCAGACATGTCTGCCACTTAAGGCCTGACAGAACGGTATCCATCAGTCTCTGAAATGTTGCGGGGGCTGAGCACAATCCGAATGGCAAGACATTAAATTCATAAAGCCCGTCAGGCGTTACAAAAGCCGTTTTTTCTCTATCTCACTCGTCGACCTCAATTTGCCAATACCCACTTTTGAGGTCCATTGACAAAAAGTAGCGTGCATACCTCAGCCTGTCGAGTGAATCATCGACGCGCGGTAATGGGTACACGTCTTTCTTTGTCACACGGTTCAGCTTGCGGTAGTCGACACAAAATCGCAAGCTTCCGTCTTTCTTTTTAACCAGCACTACCGGCGATGCCCAAGGACTTCTTCACGGCTGGATGACGTCATCATCGAGCATTTTCTTCACTTGTTCCTGGATTGCTTCACGCTCTTTCGGTGCCACGCGGTATGGGTTCTGTCGTATTGGCCTTGCCGTCTCCTCCGTTATTATCCGATGCTTCGTCAGTGGCGTTTGACTGACCCTCGAGGTCGATGAAAAACAGTCTTTGAACTGGTGAAGAAGATCTACTAGACGCTGTCTCTGCGCTGGTGACAAATCCGAGCTTACGTCAATAGGTGGTGGGGCTGACGTGGCTTGCGGCTCGTCCTGTTGTACTACACAACACTCGCGGATTTCAGTGATCTCATCGAAGTAGGCAACTGTAGTGCCTTGTGTAATGTGTCGTCGCTCGTTGGTAAAATTCCTTAACAGAACCTCTGCTTCACCGCACACAACGTTGACAATACTTCTGGCAATTGCAACACCGCGAGAGAGTAGGAGCGTCAATACTTGTTCAGCGATTCCTTTTCCAGTATTCTGCTCACTGCACGTGACTGAAACAAGGCGGCACGATAACGGAGGTACGGTCACATCGTCAATGACTCGTAGGGATTTTCGGTGTAGCACTGCGCTTTGATCCGTTGAAAAGGTCAGTACACCGTCCGGAATATTGATGATGGCACCATATTCACGCAAGAAATCCATCCCCAAGATTGCCTGTTTGCAACACTCAGAAAGGATAACAAAATTTGCGACGAAGGATGCATCCCCTATCTTCATTCTTGCGGTGCACTTTCCGGTAGGTGTGAGTAGCTGCCCTCCAGCTCCTCTAATCTGCGGTCCTGTCCATTCCATTCTAACCTTCCTGAGGGTGTCTGCTAGACTCTCACTCGTTATTGAGAAGTCCGCGCCAGTGTCGACCAATGCCATGACGTCATGTCCGTCAATCGTAATTGCAACTTCGGCAGTAACAACCCCATCTTTCGTCGATTCATTGAAAATGTGTCTCTCTTCGCTCGGCAGTAATGGGGGATTTTCAGCACTTCGACGATTCGCAACCTTCCCCCCTGAGGTCGCTGCTTTTAGTTTCCCCGGCGTGGACTAGGAGATCTCTCTCTTGGCATGTCAGTGGTGCTCCGTCTAGAGGATGGAGAATAACGCCCAGGAGAGGGTGAGCGTGACCGAAACCCAGGAGGAACATCCCGCGGGGTCATGACACTCGTGTCGACGTCAGATGTTCCGTTGAAATGGCGCCGAGGAACCGTAGAAGGAAACCCTTGGTACCCTGCGGCGCGATACGGGCAATACCGAACGATGTGGCCTGCTTCCCCACAGTGAAAGCACAGGGGCCTATGATCAGGGGTACGCCAGATGTCAGTTTTGCGAAGTGGTGGCCGCCTCGGCATCGAAGTTTCTCTGTAGTACCAAGGCGCTGTCGGCGGGTGTTGATGGTGGTACTGATGTGGTGTCGGCACGTTCGCTGGCTGTCGGCGGACTACGTCTGCATAGCTTGCCCTGGGAGTGCTCGTGTTCGGCTCAGGAAGTGAGAGCGCTTGCCTGATCTCCTGGCGTACAACTTCCGTTACTGGGGCGATCGCGCAGTCATTCGGTTTGGCGACGAGTTTCTTGACCTCTTCTTGTACGATTTCTCGTATTAGTTGGCACAAAGAACCTTCGTCGGGTGTTGTTGCTGTGGTAGAGGCTGCCACGCTGATCGGTGCACTGTGGGTTGGGCGGTCATACTGGCGATGACGTAGATGCAGTGCGCGTTCGATAGATGTCGCCTCCCTGGAGAATTCATCCACACTTGTAGGCGAGTTTCGTACGAGGCCAGCGAACAGCTGCTCCTTAACGCCCCGCATGAGGTGGCTAACCTTTTTGGCTTCGGGCATATTGGGATCTGCTCGACGAAATAGCCGCGCCATGTCCTCAACAAACATCGTAACGGATTCATTTGGTTTCTGAATCCGTGACTCGAGGAGACGCTGTGCAATTTCTCGTCTTTCAGTGCTCGCGAACGTGTCGAGAAACTTCTGCCGGAACTCGTCCCAAGACGACCACACGCGATTCGTGAACCACGTTCGGGCTCCGTCTTGAAGCGGAAAATAAACGTAGCCCAATTTCTGTGTGGTGTTCCAACCGTTAACATTCGCTGTGTGCTCGAATTCCTCGAGCCAGTCATGTGCATCCTGATATGCGTTTCCGTGGAAGTCAACCGGAAGTCGAGGGTTCAAAACAGTCACCTGTGTCGTGCTTGGGCTGGACATGTTGATGCCAGTGCTTCCAGGCGCCGTCATGCTTTCTGGCACAGTCACGCTTTCCGGCAATAGACCAAACTCCGGGCTGAGGCCTAACAGGCGCCGGCTGCTGCGGTGAACGGGGGTGTCGATGCGCGGAAGTCTTTCTTGACCAGATGCGGGGCTGTTGTCAGGCGTCCCGAACATGTACCCAGCGCCTCCACCAGTGTCACAATGCAGAAACAGCAGCAGTCGAATCCAGGGAACTCACTTTAATTGTATTAGAATACTGGTAAACTGATTGTTGTTGTTGTTGTTGCCCCTTCGCACTGGCACATACCCACTATGGGGGATTGGCCATGAAATCTAGAAGTATCCTATATGAGATATATTAAAAGGTTTATCCTTAATGAAAAAACTAATTCGCTGAAATTTCTAGACCTCTCACGGACTTGTTCAAACAAAGCACCCCCTTTAACTGGGGTCCTTGCCAAGCAACAGCATTTTCCGAGCTCGTCACTCTGCTTACGTCTTCCCCTGTCCTAGCCCATTTCGACCCTTCATCACCAGCAGTAGTCCGCACTGACTCCATTGGTCAAGGAATCGGTGCTGTGCCGTGACAGTGACAATGGGGGCAGAATCACGTGATCTTATGACAGTAGGTCCTCCTCGAAGCGCAATTATTCAATCACGGAGCGTCAATGCCGCAATATGGTATGGATAGTTGTGAAATTTCTCTCTTACTTATAGGCCAACCTTTTACTGTGCTCGCCGACCATCATCTTTTTAGTTGGCTCGCCTCTTTAAAAGATCCTACAGATTGTCTCGCTCGCTGTGCACACCACCTGCAAGAGCACTGTACACCGTAGTCTACAAGAGTGGAAGCCTGTACCAAGATGCGGATGGCTTATCACGCTACCCTGTGGCTGACGTCGACTCTATGAATGCTTACTCTATCGACTGCATTTTTTTTCCTTCCCAGCTACTTCAACTCGGCGACTAGCAGCGTCAAGATCCGCACCTAAGTCAAATAACGCAACGGATTACAATCCTCCCCGCACGGCACCTCTGTACGCATGTTTGCCTTAAGAGATAACACTTTATATCGGCACAACTTCTCATCCACCATTCCGGATCTGCTGCTGGTCGTGCGTGAGCACCTGCGTTCTACTGTCCTCCGCGAGCTTCATGACGCCCCAGCCGCTGGTCACCTCGTCGCTTCTCACATGTATGACCATGCGTGCCGTCGCTTCTACTGGCTCGGCTCTGCACGCTCGTGCGACGTTATGTCAACGTCTGCGAAGTCTGTCAGCACCGCAAGAAGCCGTCAAAACGTCCTGTCAGTTATCTTCAACTTATCTACATTTCACCGGAGCCTTTTTTTTAGTCGGTTTGGATATACTCGGTCTATTTCCAACATCCACTTCGGGCAACAAGAGGGTCGCCATTGCTACCGATTACATGACCCGCTACGCAAGCACCCAAGCCCTGCCAAGCAGTTGCGCTATGGACGTCACCAATTTTTCGCTTCGAGACCTTATTTTAGTGCACAGTTCCCCACGCCAAGTGCTGACCGACCGAGGGCGTACCTTCTATGCTCAAGTGATTGACAAGAGCCTGCGTTCCTGCTCCACCCAGCATAAGCTCACGACCTCATACCACTCCTAGACTAATTCGCTTACAGAGCGTTTAAACTGGACACTGACAGACATGCTTTCCAAATACGTGACGATCGACCACCGTGACTGGGACCTTGCACTGCCATACCTGACGATCACGTACAACTCCTTTCGTCGTGACACTGCTGGCTACTCACTTTTTTACCTTTTGTTTGGGGCTGAACCAACGTTGCCACTGGGTACGTATGATCTGCCTTCTGCGGAGTCCATCACCAAATACGTTCGCGATGATATAATACTCGCGCTGACCATGCCTGTCAGCGTGCCCGCAACAGCTTGACTGCTTCTCAATAAACGCAGAAGCACCGTTACGACGAGCGGCATTGCAAAGAACGATTTTCAGCGTGTTTTTTTGTCCTTCTTTGGTCCCCAACTTGACGTGCCGGCTGCTCTGGGAAGCTAATTTGACGTTTCACGGGCCCATACCACGTTCTTTGACAAGTAACAGACGTTACGTACGAATTTGTCCCGGGTAATCCCACAACCTCGTCACCTCTATTCCCTCGTGACGTCGTCCACGTAAAAGGCTGAAACGCTGCCAGCCTCTTGTACAGTGGCCACATAGACGTGCCGGGCCGGCGCTTTTGTCACCAGAGTTTTTTTCACTAACCTTCTCAGTGTACAGTGGGACGAATGCAAAAAGGCGTCGAGAAGAGAGTCGATAAAGTTGACGTTCGGGCGTGAGCTGTACTGTGTCTTACGACCGACTTAGTGTTGTTATACACGTAACGATATCATGAGTTGCGACGCATCTGATGCGCTACCAACATTACAACGTAAATAGCAGCGTCAATCTTGAGATACCTTGTGTACAAATTCACAAGAAAATACGAAATCATTTTTGCTCGGAAAAAAGTTGTCCGATCTTAACTGCATTCTTTGACTGCTTTAAAAGCTCGTACCATATGCTAATATTAAAAAGAAATGTTCAGTGCAAGCCTTATTTTTTATCTTAATCTTGATTACACCTTGATTGCCCAATTTCTAAAACTCGTGGTCTCATTGAACGCTTTGTCACTTATAAACAAAACATTTCATAGTGACGTTAAGTGTCATAGTGACGAGTTTACGTATTCTTCAAAATATGGGCTCTTAGTTTGCCACTGCTCTCGTTATGAGAAAAACGTTTTTTTATCAAACCCTCAATCAAAATAATACTTCTTTGTTTGTCTAGAACATGACGGTTTTTTTTTAGCATAAGAAACTTTGCTCAAGTTGGTTAATTGGGTACCTAAATGAACCTGTTCTTCAGCTCGCGTCTGCTTAAACAAAAAACAACCTTGTTTGCTCATATTTGAAGTTTCTTTTCAATTTTACGGTAGCCATCACAGAGACATCGACTTCAGCGAACCACATATTCACTGCCAATGAACGTGGGATATGCACACGTTTGTGGGCTCTTCTGCGTTTATCTTGCGTGCGCCACTTAACTATCATCAATAGTTCAGTGGCCTTATAGCGCAAACTGCAAAAGGAAGAGAAGCACGATTTTTGTCTAAATTCTTGCCTAGTCAAATAAGCATGTCTTACCTCACCGAAGCTTACTCTTCCATACCGTTCTAGCAGTGTGGTGTTAAGCAGGTAGAAATGACAGTTTGCTACGTGCACAATTTCAAAAATGTTCAAGTGTAAATCACGAATTCCACGACTCCTTACGATAAATACAAAGTAATTGTCGAAATAATGCTACGTGGGATGTACGCTAACATACTTCACCGATAGATAGAAACCAACCTTGTGGCTGTAGTCTCGCAGAACATCACTGTGATTGTTTCAGCGTGGTGACAATTGTTATGTCGTTGAGTTTTTGAATAGTTGTCTAACTTCTTTTTATCTTCATTTTCCTTCAGAAACCACCTACGTATACTGCAAAGACTTTGCTGGGATTGCCCACGGAAGGTATCTGGCTGAAACTGCAAAAACTTTAGGCGATTAAGAAAATATGCGATGCAAGAGCGTTTTCTTATGTGAGTGACAATAGTTTAGGTATCTTTTTCGTCGATTATTTCGATATCAGCAGCGAGCGGCACTTTTACCTCACCACATGGCGTAACTCATGCAATTGCACGTTTGCTGCTATTTCCTATCGCACCTGAACGCACTTGTCAATAAAACATTTCGAGTCTGGGCTTCGTAATTTCAAAGTTACTTTATTACCCTTCTGCATACTTTTTATGGACTCGAGCAGTGATTGCCATTCTAGCTTTTCATCCAAGCCCTCCCGGTCAAGAACTAACTTTTGGTTTTCTAAATGCTGTGATTGGTTAAAACACAACCTTGGTTCGCGAAGTTTCGAGACAGAGTTGATAAAAAAAATTCTTTAACATTGTAATCATTTGACCAGCACTCCTTCGTAATATTTTTCCTTGCAGCCTACACACAGCTTCCAACGCTTCTTGAGGTATTTGAAACACTTGAACAACACTTCTCTTGGAAAGGCTGTCAGCTTTTTTTTGTCGAGACTTTCTTTAATAGCCTCCGCTCTCCCCATGCGGTGACATTTTAGCGCTCTCTTCAATCGAGGAAACGGCAAAATATTGCACGAGTAGAGGTCAGGCGAGTGTGGCGGATATGTAAGTACAGTAATGCTGAGATTTGCGAGAAATTTTGTCACGCTGAGCGGCTTTGCGATATCGTGGAGAAGGCTTCATTGTCCAGATGCCCATATCCTGTGGTGACGGCGTCGCAATGCATCACGCATGTGTCGGAGCATGCGGATATAAAACCCCTATTCATCATCTGCTCTTCTCGCATCTGAGCCAAATATGTTTTATCTTGGTTTTTTTTTAAGCTTGGTATGCAGTATACAAAATAAAGTACTAACAAAAAAGCGAAAATTATGTACTGCGAAAACACTACCACTTCTTTTTATGCAGCAAATGCTGTTGGTTTTTTATTGCCCCCATGCAAAATATAGCAATGTTGGAACTAGACTACAAAACAATTCAACTAAAACGAAAACGACTCCGGTTAAACTTCTTGTGAACAAAGTCGATGTGATATTCAGCCATATGCCCTTTTTAACTGATTCTTTCGTGCACCACCTCACGGTGCTTCTGACGTCTCCACATAGATTGAAGTTGTCTTTCTGCCGAGTTCAGGATTATATTTTTGGGTCTATGCAGTTCACAAAGCAAAAAGAAAAATATTAAAAACAGTACGCTTTTTTGAGAAGCTTTCTAAAAATAGTAAACTACAAAAGCCACAAAACATCGAAATCAGAAAAAGCAGAGCACTAGAACCACAAAGAAAGAGCAGAGACGTGGCACTAACAAATCAACTATTTCACTAAGTATGCACCAACTTTCCCAACAAGCAACTCTCCTAAAATGTGAAAAAAATAATTGATGCATTTTATTATTATTCGTAACAAAAGCCCGAAAGAGTTACAAGTTACCCAATGTTATCTACGTGCCAACGAGTGAAAAATATAAAGCTACCTAAAGGAATAAATAAAAGCAAGACGCTCGAATATCATAAAAAAGCTAGAGTTCAGAGTATGCACGGCATGGTCGATTTATAGGAAGGTTTCTTTTCGTACTGTGTTTTCCACTGTTTTGTGGGTTTCAAAAGGTAGTCACGCACACAAAAAAGTTACCGCTTAAAATATTTCGAAAAAAAATGCTCTATAAATAAGGCCTGGTACATGTGTAGCTTTTTAAAATGTTTATAGGAATTTATTTTTGGTGAGCATGCTAGTTGAGACTTGAAATCCCGTTGATCACGGGCACCTTGCCCGATGTTAACGCGTCCTTGCAAGTGGAGCACATCATGAATTCGCTGTAGTTTCTGTTGCTGTTACTCCTCCAGAACTCTTGCTGGAGCACGCCACGCCGGTTCATCGCCATGCCAACCAGGAGCATGTGGGCTCAAACGCGTCTGTAGAATCTCGTTCCCCGATGCAATCATGTGACTGCTGAGAGCACATAAGGGCGAAATGTCACAGCCTCTTAACACAACCACTTACGCAGGCCCGAATAACGTTGGGGCCCGAACACGCTATAGCGCGTGCCAGCGCATTCTCATTAGGATACAACACGCTAATTCAACGTGCGTTTGCATAGTCTAGTTCCCAGACGCCATTACAAGGTTGCTGAAAGAGTGTAAGGGGAGAGGCCACAGCGTCTCAACCAGCCCCTTACACTGGCCGAAGAGCTCAGGCGCGGGGGCGCGTTCTGGCAGTGCTTCGGTGAGCTGTTCCGCGTGCACGGCAAGGGTGGTCCCGCCGGACAGGGGATAGAACTCCGCCATGAGCTGCTTGGCATCTAAAAAGTAACGAGTATACTGAACTCTGTGCCTCCAGTCACTTAACGAGCCCGGAGTAAGCGAGGCTGGAGAGTAGTGCACTGCGAGAAAGTTTCAGCAATTGATGACTGCACAAGCTGAGCTTGCCATATTGTACTCTAATATCAGATGAAATCGTCCTGCGCAGGAGTGAACTCATTGTTACTGCACTGTAATTTGATCAATAAATACTGTTGGGATGAGAACACCTAACATTCAGACCTGTATAGCGTATGAAATATGACAGAACGATTAACACGAGGCGTATATTCATGAAGATCAGGAATTTTGAAATTCGCCTGCGAGAGATAAATTTTTTGTGACATTTTTCTCTTGTTATGCCTTATCTATGTATTACTGAAAGCCATGCATAATACTTACACGTTCAATCCCAATACATAGTTGACAAATGATCTGAAGTTTACTCATACCAATTGCGTGATACTGCATTATGAAATGGACAAATGGCAGTTGGTAAAGCTAATATGCATTGTACTGTGAAAGCTCACAGTGGCACACACTTCTACATGCACACTATAAACCTTCGGAAAATTCATAGTTAGCTATTTATCGAAACTTAACTTTAAATTAAGGTTAAAAATTACCTCCAATGTTCTTGTACTTAGTAGCAGATATTAAGAGTTTTTATAGCAAAACCATCGTGAATTCGAATGAAAATCTTGCGATTTTACCAACTAGCTACCACTTCTCGCCTGCAATAAAGATCATAATACAGGTCATTGGGATTATTACTATAAATCTCTCATGTGTATGATACGTGCTCTTAGTAGTAATCAAAAGAAACACTACATGACAGCATACGTGCCACCAAAAGCACATTTTTTTAATCACGCATATTCATGCACTGCATGCACTACATTCAGGCGCAAGTTAGCTAGTTCTGCACACGATAATTCCGCACCAACTGCTGGTAAGAAGTGCTATGAGAGATTGCTTCTTCCTTTCGATGTAAAAAAGTTTGTTTCACCGTATACTTGGCAATGACAACACCATCCGATACTAAGAGCGTCAACTAACCACAAATTCCTTCACAGCCCTACTTTCTAAAGGCAACTATTTTTTTCTGCCATACATATTAACAAATTTCTAGAGCCGCATAAAACATTCAACAAACTGCTAGCGTTTTAGTGCTGATGTAGGGCTTCCATTAAAAGTGAACAACTCTGGGCGTTCCACATTCCAGCTATGAACACGCAGTACTTGCCCTTTTGTAAACGTAATTCGTGGACAGGTCCTCTGCGGCTGCTATTAAATAAATTCCACGAATGAGCTACAGGGAGCGCATTGAGTTCAGAGCAGCAGTCTTTTGTAGAATAACAGTTGCCCTTTCATGAAGAAAACGCCCTCAATACACCCAGTGATGACGATGATGATGATGATGAAGATGATGATGAATATGATGATGATCCCCGCATACTGCTGGCACTCGTCGACAAAGGGGGCTCGGCCAAGAACCATATTGATGTCCAGCTTGCCTAGACATCTATATCAATACTGTCCAGCTTGCCAATATCTTCTTCCTCCTTGAATCAGACTCCTACATGCGCCAAGCGGTTCTATGTGATGACGATGATGATGATGATGATGATGATGATGATGATTATCATGATGATGTCCTGTATGTATGACTCACGCCCCTCTGGAGGATCAGCCAAGAAAAAAATTATAAAAGTGATTGCGGCATGATTGTATATCTAATGCAATGCAAAATGTTTAGACGAATTGATTTTACAAAATTGGATATTTCCAACCAAAAGCGTGTTGATTAGATTAAGAATATTTCTGTAGTGTAACCGATATCCCGCTGACAATAACCCTAATGACGAGGCTCCAAAGGAGAGAACATTAGAAAAAATGAAATGAAATCTAATTTTATTGAAATCCCGTTTAAGAATGCTTTTCCTCAGTAAATTGAAGCGGCTACCCGATAAAAAATAGTGCTCGATTGTTTCATTATTGTTACAAAAGCAGCAAAAAAGGGAAAGCAGCTAGGCCAGCTTTATGCATATAAAAATTTAATTTTGGAGCTCTGAAGGGTATTTTTATAAAAAGAACTTCTTTACACGTTGACCAAAAATTTCTACTCTAAGGGAACGAGAGGTGTCGATACTTGCTTAGGTGAGTGATCCATGTTTTGCATGAGTCTTGGATTATGGCATGCTTTTGATATCTGTCACGTAATATGAGTGCTGATGTGGTAACAATTTAGACCACTGAGGGCGGCTTTCTATGGGCGTGCCCCTGCTTTATTTTCCTGCAGAAAAATAACTGGCCAGTTTTCCCTAAATGGGCGTCAAAAATGCCCCGGACGAACAAAACGCAGCCTTTTGTTTTTTCCTGCCCAGCTGTTTTATTTATTTGGAATTTTCGCCGCATCAAATGAAGGCTTAGACAACATGGCGGAAAAGATACCATTTTGAACCTGTACACAGCGACACTATGAACATCTCTGTTACCACTGAAAATATTTATTATAGTTCAATTCTCAGAATATACATCTAGTAACTCCAAGGCTCTTAACCTATACAACAACCACTCAGTGTACTGCCGAAAAATTCGCTCTTCAAAATTGGTGTACCCTTAAGCTTCTCTTTTAAGAGCTGAATGCGACAGCGATATCTTGTCCCTGGTGCGTACTTCAACAGTTTTTATTGTAGGATGTTACTCGAGATCTTGCGGACTACTACAATGTAATCGATAAAGTTGAAAGTGGCTGTTCCCGTCAATCTTTCGTATATGGCTGCCTTTTGAGTAAGGGATAGCATGCTTTAAATTACGACCACTTATGTGCGGGAAATCTTCTGTGTACCCACCACGTGGTCTTAAGTGAAT